TCCTGTGACAGTTGCCACTTATCTACAATAACTTTAAAACAATTTGAAATGAGTAATATGAAGGTTTATGGCAACCGAATGTCAAGTCGAATAAGCAAATTTTGAATAAATATTAAAACTGTAGTGTGAAGAAATTTGCATTAAATTAAGCTTTGTAATATTATACATTAAATTAATTTTGTCTAATAGTTCTTAATTTGATGAAGAACAAAAAAAAATGACACAAAGGTATGGCATATCATTTTTAAGGTTTTTTCTAGCACATTAATATAGTTGTAGTTTTAATACACACATGCGTTAATGAAGGCTCGATTCAGCGAAGTCGCTAGCTTCTAGCACTCCTTATACCTATATATACCTCTATGTGCATTAGTAAGATTACTGATATGACTTGCATGCTACGAGCATGCTTGCACAAATACGATGTGGATAATTATTGTGGACGCCATGTTGTGGACAGATTTCATTATGAGACATAGTTAATTATACTTGAGAGCACATAGTTGTTCCGACCACAATTCACTTAGTTTTCACTATTTTGCTTTAAATAATTTGAATGGACAGTTTATAGACTTCTTATAATTGTTTACACATAATTTCTAATCTTAAAACATATATGTATAGATGGAAAGTTTCAGCTTTCTGCAAGGCGAAAGCCTACATAGAAACGTTTACTATACTGAATTTCACACTTTATTGAACGAAATTTGTTTAAACAATTTGGTTAGAGAAATAGTTATCATATACACAGTGTTACAGTGTTTACTGTGAGAGAAGTATGAGTAAATACAAATTAAGCAACCTATGAGAAAAGTTTCTAATCCTTACTTGACTATTTAATAAAGAAAACTATAGCAACAAAACTACATTATTTTAGTCTTAATGCTAAAGCATGGGATGAACAAAGTGCTTCTATTATGGTATCTGATCATATTGTGTCGATTTTTCTTACCAGATAGCTAAAACGAGATGCGTCTACATGTAGGTCTCATAGTTTAGACCCTTTACAAGTAAGATATTTATATGCATATCTCCGCAGAACAAAAGCAAAGATCAATCACACCGCCGATAAAAGGCGGTTGTCGTTAACAAGAATTATCTTGACATACTTCCTTTCAAATACATAATTATGTACGTCCATATACCATATACGTCTAGGGTTGCCACGCGTCGGACACTTTGTATCTTTAATGATTTTTATAATCACATCTATTATAACATTGACTGTATAGTAGTATTGGTCGAGTGCTTAGCGATTCTGACTGCTGGGTTCGATTCCTATGTATTTATAATATAATTGTTTTATTCTGTTTCTTCTACTTATTCCTAAGTACACATCATGACTTTGCCCATACTTTCTTTTTATCCTTTATTTACTGTAAGGGTTCGTTGGAAGAAAGCTCAGGTTTGGGTTAAGCTCGTCTTTGTCCATGTAATTTCCCTTTCACTTATTTATCTATACAAATAAATAAAATTGGAGTGTCTGTTTGTAATATTAAAATAACCGCTTTTTACTTAATGCATATGTATGTTTACACGGTCCATATGCCAAAATAACATTTTTTACCATTTTTGTCTGTCTGTTTGTTCCGGGTAATCTCTGGAACGGCTGAACCGATTTCGACGGGACTTTCACTGGCAGATAGCTGATGATATAAGGAGTAACTTAGACTAGTTCTTTTAGAGTTGCCCGCGGTTATAACAACAAACGCGGGTCTCAGCTAGTTATTAATATGTACAACGAAGAAGCATGTTTGTTAAGTCTGGTTGCCTGTTGATCAATAAAAAATATTAAATACTGGGTCTTTCTCTTTCAAAGTCTAATGGTTATGTTACATGTGAGTGTTACACATGAGATACTAAAGCAAAAAAAATGATCATAATATTTTGGTAAAAATACTTTTTCTGCGTGGGCACAGAGGACAATCAGATAGATGTATGAACATACAATTTTATAGATTATTTTCCCGTTACCTTTGAATAATGTATATAATTTATATCTGAGCAATAGTAGCTACTAGATGCTTGGTATACATACTTGTAATAAAGAACTAATGAAGAATACATTTAAGAAGGTGATGAATGCAACATAATCGATCTAACTATGAAAAGCAAAAAGCACTAGGGACCAAACGACCTTTGTAATACCACAAGTCATATCCTCTTCACAAGAGCTTAAGAGGGACGATAAAAACTTTCCGGATACATGTTTCCGGCAGAAAACGCGATGTCGACATTCGGAACGTAACTTAGGAAATTAAACATAAGGTAATAAGGAATGTAGTTTAATATGCAAAATTCTCGAATTCTTTTTGCTTCCACGGTCAAGTCCCCAATATTAACGTGCGATTTAACAAAAGTTGTAATTATTAGGTTTTTCTTCGAGTACTTTATAAGGAAATTCTCTGTAACAGGAAGGAGTCTAGTCTAGAAGGAGTGTATTATTATTATAGAAACACTTCTGCCCTCTCTGTTTTATGTATCCAACCATGAATAACTTTTATTGTTTCGAATTGACGGGTAATGTAAGTTAATATTTTATTGTATAATATGTTACTATTTTGTTGCAAGTAATTGGGCTTAGATTTGCAAATTAACTTTGTAATAACTATAGTAATAAGGTTCAATAACACCTGTTATCATAGTCATGTTGATAAAACTTCGTGTTATCTATGGAAAACAACACAGAGAGGCAGTGCAATCGCATACAAACAGTGGATAGATAGTAATTTTGTTACCCGGCTGCAGAAGGAGGGTTATGTCTTTCGAGTGCATGTATGTTTATTTCTTTAGCATGCTCTGTCTGTATTCGAAACGGTTGAATGGATTTTGTCTTGGAAGGTGCCGACAGTGACACTGGGTATATGAAAATTATAAAAATTAAAATAGCCAGTTTGGTTTCATTTTTATTTTTATTTTCAACCAGCTTTTGCCCGCGGCTCCGCCCGTGTGGATGTCGGTTATTGCGGTAGAAATTCTATGCCCTTCCCCAAACTATCTCCATACCAAATTTCTTCTCTAAATCGGTCCAACGGTTATTCATTCCCGATACAAGCGCCCCACCCCTTTTCAGGCCTGGGGGTGACAGGTGAGGCCATCTGTCACCCTAGCAGAAGCAGGCCGGGGTGGCGGCGAAGCGCGTTGCGAAGCGCGCTCGCTTCCAGGGAGCAGAGGGAACATGGGGTTCCCACACGGGGTGGGTCGTCTACCTGTTGTTGTAGATGGCCCGAGGTATGTCGGGGCACCAGGGACTTCCTTTCTAGGGTATACCTGGTTCCCCAGCTATTAGTACCCGAGACGGCGTGCGGTTTTAGTCGGTTCCAGTCCGACATGTCACCGATAGGTGGTATGCGAGGGGATTTCCGCACGGAAAAAAAAAAAATGTCTAAAAACATTACACACTATTAGTTAAATTTTGCGTTTAACAGTCTTCCAGTAGTGCAAAGCATTTCTTAAAAAACAAGTTAAGCTTAAAAACCATTTCGTAAATAAACACCGCCAAAATAAGTTTAACTTACTTCCAAAGAGAAAGTTTCTATCAACACGATATTCATAGGTTTTCAAAGATTTAAAAACGGTGGTTTTTTTTTCTTATACTGTAGCCACAATTTACATCCCTTCTTACTTCTGCTACATTTAATATTGTAAAGAACATTGTTGATCACTCTTGACGATGACGTAGTTTCACTACCATAAAAAAAGATACAAAATGAAACACCTCATTGTATGCGAAATTCGGTCATTCGTCAGTCAACGTCAATCGCCTTCGGAACCGAATGATTTTAAAGCAATAAATTTTACCAAAAATGACAATTTTTGTATAAAAATTGAAACGAAATTCACGATCATACGAAATGGCCCATTGAGTACTTCGATTACCACCCACAATGGCTGTTTCTTGATCATTATCAGTTTAATTTCGGTAAAACTTCTTTGTCAAGGCTATGTACAGACTTCTGTTTTAGGAGAACTGATATATGACCAGATTTCTTTATATTTACAGTTATATATTAGGCAATAGCATAACTTTCTTCCCTCTCTTTGTGAACTAATTTTCTTACCAGAGCTAGGGCTTTAAATATGATTACGTCTAATGAGTTTTTAAGTACTATTTTACTACTTATTTCATTTGGTGTTTTATGAGTAACATCTTATCTTCATCAAAAGGGATGGAAGTGTGTATCAGGAAACAGGTCAAGCACGCGCTATTTGATTGAACAATAATTGCGCTCGGTGCTAGAGTTAACCGTCAGAAGATACTAACGACTTGTTCATCGTAATTTTCATTGCTAATGAAAAGTACAATAAACGATGTCACGATGATAAACATACCAGTTAAAGGTACATCCAATAGTGCAGGGATTCGCCTCACCTGAAACAAAACATTTATTTATAAATGTTTAATGTAATGTAATTATACGTATAATGTAATTACGTTTGATAAATTATGAGGTATAATTATTCATATTGAAATTCTCCCTATATATATATGGTGCTACATCTTTTGAAACTCAAAAGATGTGGCACCATTTAGTTTACACTTTATTCTAATTGCCGATGTATATTCATGCTGGCTGGCTTATATAAACTCGGAACTTTTTACTTTTTTTTCTCGACGATACAAGCTAATATAAAACTAACTTGATCCGCTCATCACTATTATTAGTAAAAAAGCCAAACATGAGGACGGGTGGGTGCCGTAACAGATTAATTTTAGTGATTAAATTAATTGTCATATTTAAAACAAACGCATTAGATACGGTCAAATAAATTACCTAATATATCATTTACGACCTTTTAGATTATTCGCATGACTTGAATAACTCTCGACTACTTTTTCGCAGTAATTTATACATTTCGCAACATGACTACAATACAAGAAAAATGTATCAATAATTGTGATATAGTGATGTAAGAGATTAGCTATGTTATCGTGTGTAATGTCATGTAAGCGAGGTATATTAAGTAAATTTATAAACAGTGAATTAAATTTATTCAAAATGTCTCGAAGTAGACGGACACTTTTGTCCATCTTTGTGTTTTTATCTTTCAATGTAAGTCTCATAAAGATTGCTCATTGTAAAAAAATTGAGAACAGCCTTTATTATTAACGGTATTTTTCTTTTTTTACAGGATGGCTTTGTTTTGTGTCAAATTAGATCAGGAACATTGCCCAGTTCTCCTGAAAATCACCAGAATTTTAATAGTCATGCAGTTCAACCGGGTAATTTAAAACCTGATTTTTTATCAGCTGCCCAAAGACTACTCGCAGGAGCCCAGCGGCCGACACTAAATGATTTCAGCACACAGCCTTTTATCACCAAACCTCCGGTAGTCACAATCGAACCCTCTTATCAGCAAATACCAGTCAATGTCAATCCTGCACCAAATTTACCTATTCAGTTTACATCAACAACTTGTAATACGGACTCTTCAGTTATCTCTTCACCTGAAACTTTAACCGTAGAAACAGTGGAACCTACACCATCAATTACAGTATCATCAGTAGCTCCATCAACTCTGGACTATCCAATTGCAGTCGATCAGAACTATGTACCACTGAATCAGATGTCACTCGGTCAAATATCACAAACATTCTCTATGCCAGAAACCTTACGTGTTGATAATTTTGTACAACAGCCACAGTTACCACAAATTTACCAGCCACCAGGAAGAGTACAGGCAACACCAATTCCAGTGGTAACACCATTCGCAAGTTATGCAAATTCAGTTTCTAGTGTCTTTCCTCAAAATGTTTTTATGGGAGCCAGCGATTTACTACCGACACTATACCCAGAAACTATTGATAGTCAGCAAACACCAGCTTATGTACAAACAGAAACTGCCCCAGTAAGTTATGCGTCAAATGTAGATTGTGGATCAGGGTATACCGTGCCACTGAGTTTACAAATTAATATGCCATCACCAACGTCTGAACAACCTATCATCTTTTTATCGCCTCCTACTCCAGCTACTGTTCATCAAGATACATCTTATATATCACCTTTGCCTCCCATGGTTCCTCCGTTAATAGTGATGGAAAGTTCAAGATCCAAATGGAGAAACATTCTTCCTTTATTATTAATTGCGTTGTGTGATGGTGGAAGCTGCAAGAATTCAGGCAGTAGTGGATGTTCAGGGAGCTGTAATATACCCATTCCGTATCCTATACCAATCCCTACAAATAACCCCATAATTCTTAGCCGAGGTAACAAAAAAAGAAAAGAGGCAAGCCATTCCGATGAAGACTAATGTTATTTTTTTCAAAGTCATCGCAACCTCATAAGGTACGAAATGGATCTTTTTTACATGTACCAATGATTTTATATACAATTAGAGGTAAATAAGTTACGTGAGCAATATTCACCATATCCGAAATAAACGAAATTTGAACGACAAGGTTGTCAATATATATACTTATATATAAACTTCCCTAATTTGCTTAATTTGAATGTATTAATTTTAATATTACTGTACATTAAATTACTACATATTTTTAGGTTCAAAAAAAGGTTCGCGGTTTCCACAAGTATTATATACTTTGGATAGTGTGATTTTCTTAGTAGCTATAGAATACTAATTTACTCTGCAACAATCCTGTAACTTGTATTTATTCTTAACTAGCTTATTACTAATTTAAAATAGAAATAGTACACAAACTCAAGTCTTTGCTTTTTATTTAAAACTTATTTTTAAACCAAAAAGTTCTTAAGCCATAGAGCAATAGCTATGAGAAGTATACCATTATAATGAAAATACTAATTTTGATAGGTTGCAACACCCTTCACACGGCCGTCTAATCCCAAACTGGTGATTAACTGAATTAATTGCTGAAACAGACTGCTGATTAACATACTTATTTAGTACTAAACTGATACATACAAAAATTACACCCAGACATACAACAAATGGTCATGCTCATCCCAGAGTTATTTATCCTGGGTGGAGAGGCCTATGTCCAGCAGTGGACTGTTATAGGCTGTTGGTGTGATGTGAAGCAGCATCTGGTAAAAAATCTTTTATTCTTTTAATGTATATTACCTGGGTTTAAGTCAGGTCAGGATCTAATGATGTGATTTTGTAGAAATCGAGGGCACCTATTGATTGATTATTATGAGCACACCTAAAGCAATTTGATGATGAAGACACCGGAACTATTAAGTAATAAGTATTTTACGGGTTTATGTTGCAATGGCTTTAATGTGATTGCAATTTATAATTGTCACATTGCATATTTGGAGCTGATAATGAAGTATAAGGATGACCCTTCAACAATAAACAGTATTCATGCATCGAGAATAGCAATATTTGAAAAATTATGATTAACCATTGGACTTAGGCTATTGTGACTGAATTAAATTATAATTTTCTCAAAGCCAGAAATAGATTTTTAAAAAGTAAATGAGTATTTAAAAACTTTTATCGTTTTATTCTTCACATTGATTATCTTATTATCTAAACCGATTTCAATAATCATATTTTCAATTGCATTGGTTAATAACCTCAAGGTACCTACGACGTAAGTAAATCTCATTTAAATATCAAGAAAAGAATCACTTTAAGCGTGGTGGTATTGGTATTGGTATTGGTTGTGGGCTTCGGTTTCCGCATTTAGACTCAGAGTGGTCCTTTATGCGTCGAGGATTGGTTGACTAGGTGAGACAGCCAAGCTCCTTCGTGGTGTGCCAAGCGTGGTGGTAAAAAATAAGGTTTTTATCATACAGTTTAAATAGTATTATAGTTTGTAGTTAAAGTTGAAAGAAGTTTTATTTTAGTTGGTTGATATTGGTGCTAATTCTGTTGTTGACATCACTAAACTAAAAATTCTCTAAAATTCTCTTATTTTAGTCAAGCGATGTTCAAAATGCTATTCTGTTGTTAGGTCGAACTAAATTTGGTGTTCATTTTGACAGCATTAAATTTGAATCTGACATCACTAAAAATTAAAATGGAAATGTTACCTTTGTTTAAAAATTAGGAATGAATGATATAGAGAAAGATTTAGAGTGAATTCATAAATCTTTTGAAACGATATTTTTAGGATTTTAGAATGCCTGTAAATGATTATTAATGCATATTATAGATCAAATAGTAAACAAAATGTTGTATTTTACAGTTATAACGAAGTAAATACAGTTTTACTTAGTTCACATAACTGGCAACCCGTGGTAAACCTTTTTTGTTACCTATGTACGAAAGTTATGATTTCTGAATCTGTGCAGGTCAATTTGACATGACAGTATAGTTTTATTGTAATTAGAATATATTTTTTTATTATATATATTTTATTTAATAGTAATGGACGATAGGAAAAAGAGGGCCAACAAGAGGCAGCAGGAGCTGCTGGTTGAGCGCCTCCATAACAACCTAGAAGTGGCGAGAGGTGAGAATTATTCAGTGTTTCAGTTTCTAAGGAATATCATTTTTACTATGTTAATTTTAGCTGTATTTTCATCACATTAATGTTGTTTTTTTAGGCAATCAGGCAGATTCAAGTACTATGGAATTTTAGACAAATTTATCAAACGAGCTTAACAGTTTGGGCTGTAATAGAACTGTACAGCAGTGGCAGCATGTAAGTATCTTATAGAAGACCCGTGTTTTTACTCATTCAAACGGTATCTTTTGTTTTGTACTTTCTTGTAATACTAAAGTCGTGAAGATCGTCTGACGTATATTTAAGTTACGAAGCTAGTGATACCTAATGTAAAAACCTTCAATCTCAGTAACATTCAGTAGAATTTATACTGTAGTAGTTAAAGCAGTCACCAGCGGTCAAAGAATTCGCATAGAAAGCATCTCTCACCCTTACAAACTACTAATTTTATCATTCTGCTACTTACAGGTTTTGTGCTGGGAAATGTATACCATAGCAACTTATTATTTATTATATCGTCTTTACTTATGCCTGTTTAATTACTTTTGTTTAGGTTTGGAGTGTATGGGTGGCCAAAGTTAAGACTAAGGCGCGCAAAATTAATGACTCCATAAGGGCAACAGGAGGAGGACCAGCTATATCTGAGCTCTCAGATATTGAGAAAAAAATTTTAGATGTAGTTGGGATTGCCTCCATTCAAGGATTTGCCAGTCTTGAAGTGGTAAAATATTGTTTAATCTTAAAACATACTATCACCTAATGCTGTATAGCGAAACACAATACATACTTATTTTATTACAAGACCTTTACACATCCTCTCACACTCCCTAATTCACATAGAGAGGAACTCACATACACTGTTGGTCTAGTGGTTAGTGCCCTGACTGTTAAGCTTGAGGTTGTGGATTCGATTCCCACCCAGAAAAAATGTAATGTGATGAGCACGGTCATTTGTTTGATGTCTGGGTGTAAGTTATTATGCTGGAAGAGCACTGTTGCCATGATACAGGTGTTAAGCCACATACACACATACAGACTTCTTACTGAATAAATTCATTGTTATTATTTTAATTCTAGGGAATAACACCTTCTTTTGCGCGCGTCTCGCCACCTGCACCAGTATTGCTGCCCTCTGTGCAGTCTCCGCAGGAGCCCCAGGAGGAACAGGAGCAACCGCAGCCTATATCCGGTGTCTCGGCAGTACCCGGCCCAATTCGTCGTCGGATTGTGCCAAGACGCCGCATTACGCCTAGGCCTTCACGTCCTCCTGCCTACGACAACCTGTTACGTTCTTTGCAAGAAAGCAGTAACAGTTTACAAGAAACCATTAGACATAGTGCTGAAGTGATTGCTGCTGCTTTGAGAGACAGCAGTGCTTCTACATTGCGTGCTGCTGAGATCTTAGCATCAGCAATTACTTCAACACATAATTCAAGTCATAGCAACAATATTAACCAATAGTAAAGTATCAACTTTTATTATTGGTTTATGTTATTGCTATGGTTGTATTTTTCGTAAACTGCTACTACTTCCTGCAAGAATAGCTCGTTTGATAACTTTGTCTAATCCATTTTATTTTATTTGTCCCTTTGTTTTTATTTTGTTGATTTTTTTACATGTTATTTTAAATTATTATTTGTTTAAGTGATTTTTATGATGATTGTTGATTATATAAATAATAAAAAACAGAGCTTTAATTAAACAATATAATAAAACTAATAATTAAAATGAGTTTGTATTAATTCTTCCGGAATCTGTCTTGCCTCTATCAAAAAATCTTGGTTTTCTTCCTCAACCACAATATTTACATCTTGTATTTCCACATCATAATGATTATCATCTGGAAATGAAGAACAGAACAAATGTGTTAAGTACAGACATGTATATATATATGTGTGTATATAAATATTGGGGTAGACAGAAGTATGATATTTAACTGAATGCTGTGGAAATGAGAAGTCTGTGAAGTATAGCTAGAGTGACACTTGAATACTTTTATAAGGGAATGTTGCGGTATGGATATATAAAAGATGTAGTGATCAAGGTAAAGAAAGGGATACTTATATGGTTTGTTAGAGAGAGGTAAGAATATTGACAAAATAGATTTGAGGCAAGAGCAAACTGGTAAGTTTTGAGTCAGATGTGATCAAATTGAAGGATTTTGAAAAAGGGCCAGATCAATAGTATCCACAATTAGCGCATATGTATGAAAATATTTATGAAACTGAAAGGGGTGAAAGATGTATGCCAGGATCATAGCGAGTGGCGAGCTGTGATCTCTGCCTACCTCAATGGGAGAGAGGCTTGGAAATACAAATGTAGAAAGGAAATGTATGTATGTGCAAAGAATAATTTATAAGTTCATTTTACCATTTAATGCATCTATAAACCGGTTGTAGAGTGTGCAGCATGCCAGAATTATTTTTGCAGCTCTTTCTGGTTTATAATGCAAGCAACGATGACGATGTAAACATCGAAATTTATTTTTGAGCCTTCCATTGCACATTTCCACAACATTTCTTGCTCTTGCGTGACAGTTGTTGTATGCCCTTTCTGCCTCCGTTGTTGGTGCCATTAGTGGTGTCATAAGCCATGGTTGCAGGGGGTATCCTTTGTCACCTGTTATAAGTAAATATATTATATACTGCCAACAAATAAATAAAACAATCAATAAATGAGTACAAACTTATTACCTAAAAGCCATTGGTTTCTCTCTCCAGACAAAAAATTACTTTTAAAAAAATGATTTATAGTTGATGCTCTCCAGATAGCAGCATCATGTGTTGAGCCAGGAAAATTTGGATTGAGCCCAATAATTTTCCCTTTTGCACTACACACCTAAAAGACAATTAGTATTTAAAATCTACACAAAATAATATAAGTAAATTAATGTTAAATATGCAAAACCTAACTCAAATTAAAACTCTTTGTCCTGATTCATATACATTTGTATGGGTTTTTTTAAAATCTAAAATGACTAAATTAAATAGATGAAATTAATGTTGTTATATAATCTTTGCATTAGAAAATAATAAACATTTTGTGAATGCTGTTGGAAGTTATAAAGAGTATGTATGTATATTTAGTATAATAATAGAGTATGGATGGAGTATGATACTCACAATCTGACAGTTAATACTGTAGAATCCTTTTCTATTATAGAAAAGATTTCCAGGTGCAGTAGGGTGATTAATAGATGGCTTTGCTATTGAAATATGTGTCCCATCTACTGCACCTAAGGTGTTAGGCATATTAAACAGCTCTTGAAATCTGAAAAGGTGAACACTATAAGTATTTCATAGATCTTATGATACTTAAGATGTAGAAATTGATGATTATCACCAAAACAATAATATATGGCTGTTAACTTACTCTGTCATTGCAATCAGTTTTTCACTCTCAGTCATGGGAAATTTTATACAATTAGGTAAAAGCTTCTCCACTATTAAATCTGCTGTTATTTTAATGCACCTGCTAACAGAAGGTTGGCTAAGTGCAATGAAATTGTCTTGCCCTACAGCAGCTTGGTAACTCCCTTGAGCAAAAAATTGAAGTGCAGATAAAACCTGAAAAATGAGTTCAATATGAAGAGTAGGTACAAGATAGAAACAGTGGATTTATATTGTGCTCAATGTAATAAAGCAGACCTTTAGGTGTTTAGGTATGAAGCCTTCATCCAGGCGTTGATCATCGAGATCGCTGACTAATTGAAAAGCAGCAGATCTAGGAAGCCTGAATAGTTTCTGAAATTTTTCCTCTGCCAACTCAAACGGATTGGAGTTATCTCGCATACGTTCTAAGCGTATTCGTTCTTGATAGTTTCTAAAAATAATACATAAGTATGTTTGTTTTAATAATTCAGATAAGGCTCATAATTATTTGTGATTTATGATGAATAATATTATGCACATACCTTTCCGCTGAACTGACCAAAACCATAATCACGTAATCACTTATCATTTTAAACAATTAATTCGCTAAAATTTTAAATTTTATACTTAAAAACTCTAATTATTAGGTTAGTCGGGATGTATTTAGCTAGCGTCTAATTTTAGTGTGACGTTTTTAATTTTAGTCAATTTTTGACGTTTAGAAAGTACAACAGAATAACAAATGAGCAAAAAAGGACTAAGTTGAGTAACTTAACTAATTTTGGTTGTGTCAAACTAAATATAGTTAAGTTCTACGTTGTCAGAATACGAAACGTTGTTTGACAGGACTAAACTAAATTTTAGTGATTTTTAGTTTAGTTTAGAGAGTTTACGAACAACAGAATTAGCACCATTTTCTGTTCATTTTCTAAACTAAATCTCTGCATCGTCCAATCAGTTGAATTTTCCGAAGCATAAATTTGATATAAACAAATAAATAATGTACGGATATCGAAAAAGTAAAACTTATTGTACAATCATGGGCAAGCCGCTGTGGGAGAGCCATGCTTCGGCAACCATGGGCCGGCTCACCCGGAGTGATACCACGGCCTCACAGAAAACCAATGTTAAGTAATTCTTTACTTTTTTTTCCACCTAGTGAGTAAGGTTACTCCCCTATCTCTAATTCTAGGAAAAGGACTCAAAGGGCAGCATCGCACTCGTGTCTTTTGAAGGTACGACTTTACTTTGTCGTCCGTCGACTTGAGGGGGGGTTGAGGGGTTGGGGGGGTTGGGGGGGGTTGGGTGGGTTGGAGGGGTAATATTGCCCTATTAGAGCAGATAACAAATTAAAATTTCCTCAGAATTAAAAATTAAAAAAATATCAACTGTATATGTATCGTTCTATAAAAAAAATATCAACCCTCAACTATACGGAGGTCAATGGAAAGCTATCTTTAGTTGCAGATGCCGATGGGCGGCAGTAGTTACTTACCATGAGATGATCCGACTGCTCGTTTGCCCCCCTATACAAAAAACAATTAAAAAAAAGAAATTGGCTAAAATAAAGCTAAGCAAGATTCTGTTAGATGGCGAAATCAAGCTTACATAACGTTTCACAGTCGGTAGGGGTGGAATATTTCGTGGCAGCGCGGCAGCGTATCAAATCTGTCTCGCCGGATTCCACTGAGCCCTCAGCTCCCTAAAATTCCAGGCAAAACTCTCCCGCATAAAAATAAACACCTCAATTTCTTTGAATATTTGTGTTTTTTTTAGCAGTAACGTACGCACTTTGTATTATCGTACGAACAAATGTAACTGTTTTTTGAGCTTTCTGAAAGATACTTTTGAAATACGTGTTATTATTTATTAAAAAGGATTCTAGCTATAAAATGTGTATATCTAACATATTATAATGTTACAGTCAATTCTCTATTGCCCATAAGACTCCTTCTGTATACTGATCTAATTTAAAAAATATCAATAATTTTGGCTTTTGAATGTGACCGCCAGCCCACACTGTGTCGGTTGTATTTAAAAATATAATCTTGGATACAGGTAAAGACAAAAGATTTTATATCAACAGATTTACTTCTTTAAGAGTAAAAAGCCTTAATTTAAATATGGTATAAATACATGTATGTTAACCCCATTACCAAATCGCCGAGGGCATGACTTTATACAGCGATGGAATTATACTTGCAAAAAATGGACCGGTAACCAAAAATGTATACAATGTTAATAGTATTTATCAATAAGTTAGGTTTGACCAAAACATTTGACAAGGTCTTATAAAACATACGTTTATTACTTATTAAAGATATAGTTATAACATCGCGGATTATATTATTATATTATAATTGTCTTTGTGGTAACGAAGTGGCGTAATTTCCAAGTCTGGACAGCATTCGGTGCAAATTCACATGTAATGTAATGAAAAACTGCCAATAAAACTGAAGGCTAAAGTTTTTGAAGAGTGCATTACACCTGTGCTCGAATAGTAGTCAATCAGTCGAAAAATTCAAAACGCCATAGCAACAACTATGCTGGGAATGACATTGCTCGACCAAAAACTAAATGATAAGATTGGGCAGAGGACCCGTGGGAGGGATGTGGTAAAAACCATCACACCCCAGAAGTGGGCTTGGACTGGCCATTTCGCCATGATGCCCCACAGATCGATAGGCAACAAGGGTCCTAGAATGGAGACACCATGGTCCAACACCAGACCAAGGTGCTGCCTACCAAAACGATGGCTGACGACATCCGGGGGACAGGCAGAACATGACTGGATGCTCAAGACCGCAGGCAGTAAGCCTTACGGCTTAGAAGATTTTGAGAGACGCCAATGTACAAAGGTGTGCCAAAAAAAGTAGTTCGTCATTTCAATGCTCTTTTTTCAATTTTTTATGAGATCTCTTAGTTAGAGTAGAGTTATTTAAAGTAAATCTGGCTAACAAGCTTGTATTTGAAGTGTTTCTGACACTACGTGACATCCAGCCCAGTTCAAAAAGGACCTAGAAGAAATAAGAAAGCAACTCTGTTTCATAGAAAAAAGGAGTGAAATATAAGATATGTACCCAAAATAACTTGAAAAAATCAATCATTGTAAGATATTTCGGCCCATATTCTCCTCACGTACGTACACGTCTTGGAAACGATTTCTAAATAAAAAAGTATAAATGTTTACAATGGTATTCATAACTTCCTTTTATTACGTGTATTCAAAACACTATCGCCAGCGGTGGATCAAAAATATAACATGTTTGAATTTTTATCGGTAATCTGACAAAAGGCGATTTCCTGAGAATATTTCCTCAGGCAATATCAATAGGAAATATATCAAAATACCTGAGATATAACATATACGTAATTTTATTTTATCAATCTCTACGTGTCAGATAATGTTCTGAAGATGTTGTAATATTGATAACATATATACGCCGACATTGGCATAAATTTTTGGTATAAAAATTATATCAATGAAGAAATTTTCTTAGTGTTATAAAGAAAGTGTAACCGTACTACGTACCAATGTTACTAAATATTAATACTTACTTATGTATTTTTTTAAAAGTATATTTATATTGAATAATTTTCTAAGTCATACGATCGTTTAACGTAATGTAAACACTAAATAATAAAACCCAATAATCTATTTATTTTCTTTATATCTATTAAATAACAATTAACATGAAGTTAATATTATACTGGACTGCGGTATTGTCAGTTTTCCTATTTAGTTATGAGGTAAGAAATTATCTATCAGAATGGATTGCTGTTAAATAACTAAAACTAGTCAAAATAACCTTAATAACAAAATACATGTATTTAACAACTATTTTAAAAGTATATAACAAATGAAAAATTACTTTCACATTTAATCAAAGCATTCGCCAATCGCCCTTGCATAGCTTTTAAACGCCATATCCAAGTTAAGATATCCCTATCTACGCGATAGGGACTGCGGTATTGTCAGTTTTCCTATTTAGTTATGAGGTAAGAAATTATCTATCAGAGTGGATTGCTGTTAAATAACTAAAACTAGTCAAAATAACCTTAATAACAAAATACATGTAATTAACAACTATTTTTAAAGTATATAACAAATGAAAAATTACTTTCACATTTAATCAAAGCATTCCCCGATTGCCCTTGCATATCTTTTAAACGGCATATCCAAGTTAAAATATCCCTATCGCGTAATACCTTGAAAGTGTAGAAAGTTTTGAAATCTCTTATAACTTTGCTATCGAGGTGTATCGAATAACTATCCCGTTGTGTTCGCGAGTGTTATCATTCCTCTTAAGAAAACTAATTTTTACTAACCAAAACTACAATTATTATTTTTAAACTATAGACGGAACAAAATTATACTACTCCTAAGTATCTATGAATATAAAAAATGCAAAATTCTGACATTATATATAAGCTAAGTTCCGTAAGTTTTAAAGTAGCAGTATTTTATTCTTACAAATCTTTATAACCAATGTTATTTTCAGGAAACTGAAGTCTCATGCCAAGCAGTTCTCCCATACTACGGAGGTGGTCTTTCCTACTCAGACAACGACGATGATGACATAGGAATCCTACTAACAATATTACTTTTAGCCTCAAGAAACCGAGGCAATAACGGCTGCTGCAACTGCTGCAACTGCGGTACCAACAACATCCCCATACCATACCCTATACCCATCCCAACGAATAATCCTATCATCACAAGGTATAGCAGAGGCGGTAACGATGATGATGATGATGACGATGCCAAGACAGGAGGAGGAAAAGATGAAAAGCAGCCAGAACAAGAAATAACTATAGTTACTGATAATCAAGATAGCTCAGGCAGTTCAGCTGGGGCTGCAACTAACACAAAGAATCTTAGCAATAATAGCGCAAGTAGCCAAAGTCTTGCACAAAGCAAGTCCTAATAGTTTTGGGCATCAACTGTTTTTACAGTGATGATAATTAAAATTACTATAAAATCAGTATTCTATAAATTAGATTCCCACAACATGAGAAAATTATAAAATGAAATCATTGTATATGAATTTAAAGCAAGTTGGTTTTATTAAATTAAACATCTCAGGTGATTACCCTAATGGAGGATCATATGGAGGATAAAATAATGTATTTATATGGAACTTAACGCAATCACGTCAACAATATTACCTACTTTTAAACAACCTGATGTTTGACCAGGACGCACTGGTAACACCACAGACACAGGAGTCAGCGTGTGATTGCGTTAATACCCGTACAATACTTAATTATATATCAGTGATTATAATTTTGGGTGAATTGACGAACAGGATGAATACAGCCTATTCTATTGTATATTAAGATAAGTAATCTGAAGAATTGTAACTTTCAACGACTCTGAAAAGTATCCATTTAATGAACTGCACTATTTTATGACAGTGATAAACATTGAAGTAAGTATTTTTATTTATGTGGAAATTAAGATACACATTATTCTACCTATATTATATCAGGGTATATTAAATAAAAAACTTGAATTTGATTAAAACGGTTAGAAGGAAGGTTTTCAAGAAAAAAATCACATCATTTTGTACTTTTTACTTTTCCTATAAGTGAATAAATTGTGAATAAAAAGTGAAATACATTACACACACATTACCATAAACATAAAAAAAAGATTAAATGATTGAGAATAGTATCTATGTATTTTATTTTTGTTCTCTGCCTTTTTTTTTGTATTCTTCTAATTAGTTGAATGCAAAATAAAATGTGTTTTGCTTAAAAAGAAGTAAAGTGGCATCAAAATTTGATTTCCAAATTTGATTGATAGAAACGACAACGACGATTTTTTTGACGAAGGAGTCAAAAACAAAACAATATCAATCTGATTTCGTTAACCGAGTGGTTTATTACAAGCATAAAAGCAGTAGCCCATTTGCATTATTTCGATTACAGTTTAGAAACTGATTACCGTTTCACTATTAATCCATTAAACTCTTCTAGTTAAATATAATATAATGTATACATTTACTGTATAACTTTAATGAAACACAATGAGAAAGTGTTTTCATCAATTTTCATTGACAAGCAATTTCCCTTAATATGCATACGTCAGCCTTGTCTAGACACGCCTTACTTTTACTAATAGTAATATCTATCAATATTAATTTAGCCCTATGGATTAATATTTACAGGTATGTTTACTGCTTTTGCCGCAGATTTGCTAGCGTAGTTTTTTTTTTCATTAATGCTAACTTTTTTATGGATGAACGATTCTCTACATCCCTTGCAACGAGTATGCAACATTCCATGATGACAGACAGAACGGTACACCACCCCCTTAAAATGATCAAACAAATTTATATTTTTTAAATATAATACAACCTAGTGTAAAAAATTTAATACGATCCTTAAAATTTAGGAGAAAAAAAAACGTGTTTTACGTGAACTATTTATTGAAAAATCTTTGCAATATAATGAAGTTAGAGTGTTCTTTTTATTTGATGAGACTCAGCCATGTTTATGCAATCAGACATAAGTCTGTTTTGGTATTGATCGCCCTTTTATTCCTCCAATAAAAAAAAAACCTGATTCAACAGCCAAACTACGAAATAACTACAGATCCTATCAAATACACACAATGAAAAATCATACGCAAATTAGAATACAAAATACAAATTTCCTTTGTTGTCATTTAGATACATGTCAATGATCACGATAAAAACAGTTAAATGTAATTAATATAACCCTGTACTATTAGCTTTCATTCTAGTTCGAACTGAATAGAAAACAACGGCGCTTAATAGATACACAGGTACATCCGGGGCTTAAAACGGGGCCTTTGGCGTTTTTTTTTTTCTCAGTAGCGTTACTATTACGAGGAACAAATTGTTTATTATGTTTGCTTTGATCTTTCAATCCACATTCTTGGGCCGAGCGTTTAATATCACATTGCCCTAGAGTTATGTAAGGTTGCAATATTCATAGTAGGTAATAACCAGACAATGTGATAAATAATGAAGATCATAGAAATATCAATTACATAGATAGACTTTATTTTTATTCATATTACCCGGGCATTGTGAATAGTGGATACAAGTTCTCGCACCGCTTAAATTCCCAGCATCAAAACTCTTCTACAGCTCAACTCTTGGACCTATGCGGTTAGTAAGCGGAGCCATATTAATGGAGCCGGTTAGTGAGGTGAAACTGCAAGAAACGGCTAGGACTTTATGAAATACAGTTTCTATTCATGTATTTCTCTTTAACATTGTGCACGGACTTTAAACAAAGGCACTGCTGTGGTTTGTTTCGGCGTTTCTTCCCAGAATGAGTCTTAGGTAATGCCGGCGCCTTCTAGCTGTAAAAACCGACTTGTAAAAAAATCTGAAAAAATTTAATTGCAGAAATAAATATGTTTTTTATCAATAAATAAGTAAGTATATGTAAGACCTGTTAATTTAAACAGTAGTACAACACACAATAGTTTTTGTATAACAACTATTGTCACTATCACCATCATCATATATACATATATGAACAGTAGATTTATTGATCAGTGTTTGTCACAATTTGCTATCGTTATGTAACTCGTTTAAAAGAAAATTGATCATAATGGATTATTGACACTTATGCACAATTACAATTGATAAATTGATCAATCGTTTGCTGCTGCACGCTGGACGTTGGTATGAGATAATAAGGAGCAAAGTAAAATCCAACTAACATTTACACAAGTATAATAAATGACGCAAAAGTATATGAATATTATAAATCCAGCATTCTTTATTCCTGGCACAATAAAAAATTTAAATTACGAAACAATCGTTGTTTTTTTTTTAAACTTTATCTTTACGTGTTCATAGGTCAAATTACAACAAAGTGTAAGCCTAAGGTGTTACAGATAAGTAAATCCTCTATGTTTGTTTTGCCCAGACGCGTACAAATATATTTATGTAATTAACATTGTCAATTCTTTTTCTTGCTTTTAACATGCATTTTAATTTTTAAAATATCATTAATTCGTAGGATTATTTAAACTTACACATTATTAATAATGTCAACAATAGTAATTAATAATCACATGCATGTCAAAATAAATACAAAATACAATCAATTTTAATAAATATCAAATAGATTAAGTTAATGAAAATTTAAAATCATTAAGATATGTGAGGTATTGTTCAATTTTCTGAAGCAGTAATTATAGAATTGTCGTCCAAATAGTACTTTAGTGAGTAATAGCATTTACTCATCAAGATTTTTAATACTTCTTTTTTAAAATTGACCAGATTTAGCGTTTTTATTTTTTCAGTTAATTTGTTGTATATTTTGGTGGCCATACAGAAGGTACTTTTATTGATTAGTGCAGTTTTGCCAGTGTTGTTTTTATCGCGTAATTTTCTGTAGTAACTTTTAGTTGCTATTTTGTATGATGAGATGTTAAATTTCACAAACACATTTGTTTCGTATATGTACAAAGATGGCAAGGTAAGAATTTTTAAGCGTATAAAATACGGTCGTCAACTGTCGTAGCTTTTAAGACCACACATAGCTCTGACACATCTTTTTTTAGCTCTAAATTCGATATAAAACCTCATTTGATTTTGAGCATTACATAGTGTGTCATATGAACCCTACTGGAAATTATTTCGAAATCTCCCCTCGTCGGTCACACCTAAATTGGTTTTGGTATGAGCTATAGATAAACGTGACTTGTTTTGATAACTAGGCAGTTGATACAGGAGATGTACAAAAATATGCTTAGTTTAACTTAATAATTAAAATAGATCAATATATAATATACTACATGTTTAATTTATATGTTGACTGTTTGACTGACTGTCAAAATACACAAAATTGTATTAGGTACGGCGAATGGCTTATAAGAACAAAATAATTTACGACGCATCTCCGCATGATTGTGACACACCAGCTATAGGTATGGATCCGTGTTTAAAAACTACACTAGCAATAAAGAAAGAAAAAAGCGTTTATTTTGTCAATAACAGAACACTTTATACAATTTTGCAGCTTGAATTACCGCCGATGCCAAAAACGAACCCAATTCAGCTTTGTGTAAGATGAAAGCCTGACGCTGGTTTTCAATGTGGCCCAAAATGACGACATGCTTAAAACTAGTTGCAGACCCTAATTGCTAAGCCGTGTACATACACCTTAGGGTTGATAACATACAGCAATAATATATATCAAGACAAAGTAACAGATAATCAGATCATGCCAATATACACAACAACATAAATTAATAAAGTGTGCACACTCTTTTCTCTTGATAGCACTCATGCTCAGCTCTCACCAGCTAGCGCCATGCACCGCTTCACGTTAAATAAGAGAAGTGTTCACATTGGCCATATCCAGTTTCATATATAAAAGGCCATAAATTTAAAAGTGCAAATTACTCAGATTTAGTTAAAACTTTTTTTTTTTTAATTGGTTTATAGCTGTATTGAAATCAATAAACATAAAATATTACACAGAGATTGTATCGTAAAAAAAGAGTTATGTTATTTTTTACATTTTTCACGTGATTTGGTAATTTATTCTGAGAAAGCTTTTGACTGAACGTGGCATTTGAGAGGCGTCACCCTCATTAACTTTTGACGGCGCGTTATTAACGTCACATTGGCTTTAAGGTACCTCTATGTAGCATCAGCTCCCAACCCCTACCAACCCCAAGAGTAAATACAAATACGTATTATTTTTATTGTAAGTCAGAGTTTTTGGTTGATTTTCATCCAAAAGTACTCGTTGGCTTGTAGATTGTTACTTCATACGAAAGGGCAATCATTTTCGCTTGCATGCTCTCCGTTATTCTTCCGATAAGCTCAGAAACTAATTTATTTTGATTCGTGTTAGATCAGCGCTATTCTATTAGGTGTTGTTCTGATTATTCCCACTGTTTCTATTATTATAGCTGTATTAAAAGTTTGTTTTACTTAGGAGTGTTTAATATATATCTATTGCAAGTCTGTTCCACGGATTTTAGATGTTTTTTTTTAATGTTGACGAGTTCCACTATTCCTTTCTCGTAAAAAACTACAGAAAAAGCTTTCGGTGTTGTACGTCAAATTATGGTGAATCGAAGAGGTATGTCCGGCAAATAAGGCTTTCGCTACCAATAAAACATGAGGCCTAAATCTTGCTCTTAATTATAACAAAATCAAAACGGCGTGAGGGGTCTATGGACCCCCGGTCGGAGCGAAGTTCCGCAAGAAGTGTCGGAAAAAAGTCTTGTTACACATTTTTCGGTCTCGCTTCTTTCCGCTCAAAGCGTGTAACGCGCGATAAGAAACTTCGTTCCAAAAATATAATCAGTTTGGCTAGGGACTTTACAATAACAAAAATGTTATACAGTCTGTGCCATTACTAGTAAATTTAAATTATAAGTCAAATGTTGTCTGTGGTGTGCTAGACAGAATAAAATGATAATAATAAAAGGTGGTTGTCTCTGGCACGACATACTAGTTTGTTCTATAAGTACAAAAGCAGACGGACCTTTGTAAACAGTAAAAACATTGAGATTGGAAGCCCATTATCTTAAATTTATCTTTATTCATCGGGCATTTCATTTGATTTCCGTTGTAGGAACGTGACGAGATAAAGAAACGTACTCATTTGCTACAGAGATAAGTGATGCCAAGATAATTAAAGCGCGATTATGTCACATCTCTTAGGGAGATAATTTATCATATATAAGAAGAAATAAAAATGTTTTGTACAGATTTCACGATGGCAAGAGCCAGACTTCATTGTATTTTTGTGTTGTTATTATACTCTCAGGTAATTATTTCATCATTTCTCAAGTATTTAGTAAATATTGTCTTTTTAATTGTTTAACATCACGTTGCAGCTTTTGTTGTCCAGAAGCTATAAAGCAGCTGCGACTTACTGAAAAAGTATTCCTTTTTATCGTGCGAGCTGTGTAACTGTATGTAATAATGTAAACACACATTAAAACTACCGATGATTATTTAAATTAATTTCAATTATTAAAAAATGAAATCTTAATAGAATCATAATTGAGCCATTCATACTGTAATTTTTATCGGCGAGATTAAGCATGAGATTCAAAGCTAAATAACCACTTAATGAACTGCTATACTTATACATTATATTCCGTTAAATAAACATTCAATAACCTAAATAATATATTTTCAGAGCAGTTATGGACAGCAAGCATTGGGCAATAATCAAAATTGTGGCATGACTAATTCTAATGGTATTCAGCAACAAAATCTACAGCGGTCTCCGAGGAATTTCAATCAAATTCCAAATGGTGTCGTAAATGTCAATTTGTCTCAGCAGCCTAATTCACAACAAGCTAATTTTCAATTGCCTTCAGCCTTGTTTAATGAAAATCAAGGAAATCTACAGCAACAACTAAATCTACCGCCTACTTTGCAATCCCAATCTTCGCCTGGAAATCAAAATAACTTCCAAATAACCAAAGTTGGATTTACTCCAGTTGCATCAGGAATGGTAGGCAATCCATCTACTTCGCCGCAAGAATTTCAAAATGCAGGTGTTAAAACAAATGTGCAAATGAATGCAGGATCCCAGGGAATGGGTCAAATGGCTAACACACCTATCTCAATATCAACCCTCGCTGAGTTAGCATCTTTAAAGGGACAACCATCCTTACTATCTATTTTAAATCCCCAAAACAATGGACAATCACAACATAATTCACAGATAATGTTGAATTCGCAAAATCAACTAACTGATGCTCAGAAACAGTTCTTAGTGAGATCACTTCAAGGACAGAATCACCAAGGAATAAACGTGATACAAGCTCAACCAAGAGTAGTGAGCATAGATAACCAACAGCCATTAACCGTTCATGCTTTATCCCAACCCCAACAAGGCCAGGCTATAGTGACATCTTTGGGTAATCAACCAGCATATATAACAGTCCAAGCTCAACCGCTAACTACGTATCTTCAAAATCAAACACCAAAAGTTGTAGTAGAAGAAGAACCCTCAATAATGTCTTTAATTTTATCAGAACTAGGTCCTCAGTACGCTGTTAACTCTGGCTATATTCCACCAAAGAAGGGATCGAAAAATAGCCTAAAAGCTCTCATTCCTTTGATAATAAATTTGATTAAGGAGAAAAATAATTGTGGCTGTCGGAATTGCGGATGTCCAAACAACTGTCACAATGTTAGTTCAAGCAAATTGGAGTTAGAACCCCAAATGGCTCAAATATTTGGAGGGTATTCTAACCAGAAATATTATAGTCAAAACTCAGATTATTCAGCTAGAGTCAAGAAGAATGACGAGGATGAGTCTAGTGATGATAAACAAGAAAGTAAAAACAAAAAAACAGTGAGTGTTGCAAGTGCAGAGATTTCAGAAGAAGAAGATAATTCGGAATACGTAGATGAAGAAGATTAATGAACGCCAGTTTTTAAGTGTTACTATTTTTAGCTATTTATTAAACTTAATAATGTTAAATAAGCTTTAATTGTAAATGAGTTTTTACACCCAGTTCACCAAGTATGTTAAAGTCATTTCAAATTACAAAATAAATTGCTTTTAAAGAGACATGGTGGACAACCTTAGTAAGGTTAAAAGTTATACTTTCGTTAAATTTAGTTATACATATCAGTCAATTTATATAAATACAAACACTATACCCTGTGGTGGTAGATAGAGGGTTATTTAACTTTTTACCAACTTAGAGACCAGATTATCATTTACGAGATTTTAATTAAGAATATACTAGAGCGATATAACGTAGCAAGAAAGAAAGAAGTTTATTTTTTCTTTTTTGTAAAAAAAAAACAAAGATATCCAGATTACACACAAATAGATATACAAACGAATCGTTTTTCTTTTCGCATTGAGAGTCGTGGTGGATGAAGTCTTCAGGACGATTTATTTAAACCTAGAATCTTCTTGCCACTGCACACATGGTAAATTTCTTTATCCATTGAAAAAAGCGTCAACACACTCGCATCAAAATCTGAAGTCAGAACTTCAATCAGGATCAAAATAGATCAAAGAAAAATTCAATTCGTGTCTAATTTCACGAGTAAACTTTTCATACCTTATCAAGCTGTACTCTAAAAAACTGTGTATTAAATTAACTTTCAAATCAAACTATATAGGTGCATAATTTGACAACAGCAACCTATGACGTAACAGGTTGTTATTACATAACTTAGCTTAAAGCTGTATCAGAACTTATCGTTTTGACGTTTATTAAAGAGACGTTTGACTTGACAGACGTTGTTATGGAATGATTACTAACTTTACTTAACCAAATAAATCCTACCAAGGCTTACTGCACTGCGTCAAATGCTGCGTTTAATAGAATTACATCCCAACCATTTTACCCAACAATTTTTATAAGTTAAAAGTGAAGAAAGGCTTAAGGCACTACATTAAGCTTTATTTATATAATAGCACCTTTAGACTTAGGTGAAAACTATGTTGCAAATAATATATTACAGACAATATATGGTTAACTTTTGACAGATTTGTGTTGACTTACGTCTGTCAGATCAGCCAATTAAAAATAATCTGAATTTTTAATAAGAAAGATTTACCTGCCCATGCGCATTTTGAATCAGAAATCAAAATAATTTTTTTATGTATTATCTCTTTTTTTTAGTTTTGGAGCTCCAATAAATTGTCCGAGGAATCCCGCTACATGTATAACCTACTATTCCCTTTTTCTGATGTAGTCATCATCGCGTTGCGAAACGGCACTTACGAATCTTACGATACGCTCAGCCATATTATAGACCATAAGTAATACTTTGGGCCTATCAAATCGAAAAATAGGTTCCACTCATCGATTTGACCAACTTTAGTTTGGGCACCTCATGAAATAATCTCGTGATCTGCCCAAGCATAGTTCGATTAGCCTAATTTAACGATGGCTCTGCGACAGATATAAATTAAAGGACACAAAGCCTCCTTACGTCCCAACGCGAAGTGCAGCGCATTCTAGGTAAAATATAGAACGTGAGGATCTGCTAAATCACCGAATGATTCATGATTTTAAACGTCGCACAAGCGTATCTATGACGTTGTGCTAATATTTTCACAAAGAGTTACGGGAGACAAAGAAACAATTCGGTATATAACAATCTGTGGAGTGTTGGGAAATCAGAACAGAAACAAATACAATGGTGTCAGCTAGTTGCACTATTATTCTCGGCGCAATTTGCATTTTAGGGGTAAGTTCAATAATATATTTTTTAGTTTGGCAAAAGAACATCATTCATCACGTGGGTATCGTAAGAGCCGACTAAGGGTAGTAGGCCAAAACCTCCTTTTTAAATAGAGGCCTATGATAGAGAGGCCTAGAGATGATGATGGTGAAGGTAACACTGTGGAAACTTTCAGAGATCGCTATTAACGATATTATTTACACGGTACAAATAATCCCATGAAAACGCAAACCCCGCTCTCCCACTAACTCCCTAACTGCCTTGGCGTAAACTCAAGAGTTTTAGGTTTTAGGTGTCCATGGGCGGCGGTAGTCATTTACCATCAAATGACCCACTGTTTGCTTGCCCCCCTTGCCTTGCTTGGCAAATTATTTTAAATATTTTTTTAATGGTATATTAAAAAAAATAACGATAAATGTCATTAAAACACATACACGTGTAAATTGCTAAACTATACACTAGAGTTCACTAGACTCTATGTTGCTTCATATCAGTAATATAGCTAAGCATAGACTACTAATTCCAAACAAACATTAAAGTTTCTCTTGAATTATATTACTTGAGATACTAAGATATAAAGTTTGTACTTAGTAAGCAATCCTTACTCATAAGTCGGTAAAGCCTTATTTATTTAGGGGCCAGGATCCTTAATAAAGGACTGTCTTGATATGAGGTCGAGTCCAGCCTAAGACTAATCACGCTGAGCGTAGTACCATTTATACGTGATAAGAACAGCATTTATTTGTTTCAAATACCTCTCAGGGTCCCTGATATTCGAACATATGGAAATTCCTCCCTTCGTACCTCTTGGCGATATATTATAAGTCAAGAATCATTCAATTTGTCTAGTTTTTACTTATATTTATATTCGCCTACCCTCAGATTAGGTTTAAGTGTATGGCATGTCACAACTATCGGAGTGGATCCATAAACTTAGAATACTTACTAAGTTTATGAGCCGGCCGCACTAAAATACTACCTACCACTGCAATAAAAGTAGTAGCTTTATTCAGAATTGATATAAGGTTCTTCGATTACCTCTTGTTAGGAATTCTATTATACAAATCTTCAAATAAGTAACATAAAAAGTGATTTCATGTTTTTTAGTCCTAATAATGTCGCAGAAGATTTCAGTCTACGAAACTCTGAATGACTGGCTAGAATAATAAACATTCAATATTCATATCCACATACTGATGCGCTTTTTGTCCTAGCCACTTACTTAGACGCAGAATTATTCCGTAATTCATGAATTAATGAATGTGTTTAATTTACGTTACTTTTACATACTTTTCAAAGTTCACCGAGGGCAACCCATTCGGTTACCCTGGAGGATGCCCAGGTGGTTGTGGAGGATATCAAGTTGGTTTTGGGGGGCCTGGCGGTATACCACCCGGCGTACCACCATTCCTACCACCACCGATCCCACCATACGGCTGGAGAGACGACGACTCACTAGATAAGATATTGCCATGGCTAATTCTCTTGCTGGCGAATTGAAGTAAAAAAAATATTGCGAAGTGATAGAGAAGGCATCAGAAGGCTCTGTCAGATGTTTAAGAGCTGATACTCCGTAAGGAGTCGAATCAGCGAAAATCTATAAAAATGTAATTAATATGAATGTTTAGAAATAGTAAAAAAAAAGACAATTGCACTTGTGACTAAACTACCTATAATACATTTAAATTCAAAAAGATTGTATAACGCGACAATATAATACTAACACCCAATTAGTGTTATTAACAAATATAAAACTGTAATATGTAATAATCCACTCGTATAATAAGACAATGTTGTAGAAGTTCAAGCCCAAAAGTGTTAAAATTATAATGATTTATGAAATTTTTTTAATAATAATATAATAAAAAAAATATAGCTTCATAAAAAAAAACTGTGTTTTTACTTAATTTTGACATTCCGTTCCGTACACCGTTTGACACCCGTTGTAGATAATATGTATGACCTTTTCTGTGAGTACCTACCTACTTATTGTGGCCTAATCCTGACATATACTTGCATTAGATACCAATGTTCAAAAAACATTACTTCTGCTTATTTAGACACATTTTCACACAATTTCATTCTCCCTTTCGACACATAGCGTCGAAAACTGAACCCAGTTCTAGTCCAATTATTTTCCTAATGAACGTTTTGTAAGTACCTCAATCTAATAGGGGTTGTATTACACTGTGCTTTCGTATACACGTTAAATAACCCTGTCTGGATTTACCGAGTCCTAACTTAAAAAGGTGGGGAACTGAAAACTTAAAAATATTATTAGAAGAATCTATGTTATTAAAAATAATAAAAATACATTTAGTCTGCATTGTGTTTCTGTTAGGAGGATTTCTATAGCGCTAGGTGTAGACATCCAGATTACAATGCCAACTGTGTTTCTAGAAGCAATTTATTATTCTACAAACAGTGTGAGAGTAATTTAAACCACATTTTACGATGATTACCTATTTTCGTCAGTATTAAAAGATTAATAACACTAACACGCAATGTTAATACATTTATTGGGGTAAATCCACTGATGGTGGCTCCCAGGTCTTCAAAGTATTTTTAGCTGAAGCTTCTAGTTTTTCTATCAAGTACTCGACTGACTAACTTTTTTGTTTCTGTGGTGAAAAGTTGAGTTAGACATGAGTTATCCACCTCGTAATAATAGTTAGTCAGCATGTGACTACGGCCAGTGCAAACTGGTCGAAACGTACAGACAATTCAATGTACATCGTGAACGCGTTAATTCTGGTAAACATAAATACAGGGTGTAAGGGACGGTGTAACGAATACTGAAATATTGTATTCAGACCAGCATCCTCAATCGAAAATTATTAAATTTTCTGCTGGAAAATTATTAAAAAATATATAAATTCCATTGTATTAATCAAACAGCTGAAGCGCGGATCGGCCGCCAACTAGTGTTAGTGTGCGTAGTCTGATTGCTAGTAGTAGTTTTGTACGATAATGTTGTGGGGAATGTCCTTAACGTTTGACAGCTGATTGCATAAAACGTTTAATTTTCCGGCAAAAAATTCCAATGATTCTCGACCCAGAATGATGGTCTGAATTCACTATTTCAGTATTCGTTACACCGTCTCTTACATCCTGTGTCATTGGACGTGATAGTTTAAAAGAAAGAAATACAGAAAACAAATATTAAATTAATTAATTTAATAACACAAATACTTTCATATGCATATTTGATCAAATTCACATTTACTGTGTTATGAAATTTTTCTCCTAAACAGAGTATATAGGTGCCTCACAGAATAGAGCTGTTTCAGTTGTTTTTTTGTACCTTACCGACTTTACTATGCCTATTATATTATATTATTAGTCTTTTTTTCTATCCCTTAGCACGTTTTTTGAAAATTACTACTACGTATACAAAGGCCTTTTTGAAAAGGTTGCCACATTATTATTTATCAGTAAAAATTACGTTATTTATCTATAATAAAACAACAGTAAATATTATATGTTTTTACATAACTTTACGTGCTAACAATCTGTTTTAAGTGATTTCGGTAATACGATATAAGATAAGCGAATAGTATTCGAGGAAGATTACTAATGTTTTAGATATAGAAAAAGATGTACATATAAAAGTGTGGACTATTAGTTTCGCGAGATATATTCGAAATGGCGTCGGCGGCGTGGCTGGGTTGTCTATTAGTGCTGACGAATGTAAGAAACGATAAATTTTTGTATTCATTCAACTTCTTGCGTAAATTCTAATAGTCCTATTGTCTACTATCTCAGGTTTTTTGACTTTTGGCAAATGTTACAAAAAGTTTAGATTTTAAGAGATTGCCTCATTGTAGGATTTTCTTACCAACAGTACATTAATAATTCTATTGCTTTTTTATATTTAGTATACATTAAAGTAATTTTTTTCTCATTATTTTTAGGGTAAGTTAAGCAGTCGTTTTGTTGCATAATTTTTGCCAATACTTACTATTCTTTAACGAAATAGCGGTGGCTTTTGTTTATTTACAGGCATTCCTCATTCAAGCTCAATATTCAGGTGGCTATCCAGGTTACGGGGCTGCACCTCCTTACCCCATTATAGTAAGGAATAATAATGACGATGACGGTTGGAAACATATCTTACCAATACTACTTCTACTTCTCTGCGACGGCGGTTGTGGTGGTGGTTTCGGTGGCTTCGGCGGTTGTGGCGGTGGTTGGGGTGGTGGATGCGGTGGAGGGTGTGGTGGTGGGTGCGGTAACGGGGGAGGAAACTGTGGCCAGAATATCCCAATTCCGTATCCAATACCCATACCTATTAATAACCCCATAATCAATTAAATTTGAATCTATGTTTGATTTAAACTGTGATTACTCTGTTTAGTTTTATTAAAAACCATAAAATTGTACTCAAAGAATTATTCATTGCGTCACTGTACTATTTATAGACAGACAAGTTAAAAATACTTGTATTGTTAGAAAGAAAATGCTTACAGTTTAGACCGTTACTACCTTACAACGAAAATTAGTCTCTTTCTGAGACATTGTTTCAGTCAAGATCACAATCTATTAACAAGAAAAAAGGCCATCTTATATGTACATCAAAGAAATGTCTGAAACTTGATCCGTATAACATTTTTTTAGGAGCAGAAGTTTAAAAAATAGGTGGTCTATTACTATACAGAGTATATTCTTATTAGAAAGAACTAGAATACCTGTCTACAAGTTCTTGAGCCCAAGGTCACCAGTATACACATTTTAATAAGAACAATTTATAAATGACTTTTCAACGAGTTAAAACTACATTACAAAATTGTGTTCTACGGTGAAACGATAAATAATTTTAATATTAGCAGTAACAGTACACGTAGTCACCAGGAACGTGCTCACTCTACCAAAAGGGAATATTACACCATCAAACATTACCTTTAGTAACCAGTTTTGAAATACGTAGTATATAAAGACACCTCGTTTTATTTACTAATCATAAGTCAACTCTGCAAAATGGGCTCCGAAAAAGTTCTAATCTTAACGGCAGTTCTGTTAATCTTGAAAGTAAGTTTACTTTTTTTTTCAAGTTAGCGCGTTTATTACTGTCAAAAATGTATATTAAAAATATTTAATAATGTCAAGTGTAATCGAACGAAAGATTTGAATTATAGAATAATTGTGCTCGTCTGATTAAACCGCGTGCAGTCGCTAGGACAGTGTTTTGATTTATCTAGTGTCAAGTATTTAGCAGATTTCGCCGTTCTAACGGTAAAAAACATTCTTGATTGACTTGACATTCAAGTGACTGTTATGAATCTCTTTTAGTAGTTTATGGTGTGATTATCCCATATTAACTACTTTTAATTAGAATTAACCATCAAATTTTCATTCTAACCATATGATTTTACATTTACGTATAGGAATTTTAATTTTAAGTAAATTTATGTTCATTTTAGTAGCACAATGAACATATTATCTGAGCTTAACATAAAGACTATAGGCAATTTTGTTCAAGTGGTCTATAATTCAGCATTAAATTGACTCATAAAACTTCGAAATAATAAAAAAACAAGATTCAGTTTTTTTCATTCTTAATCACTTGTTCTGGGGAATCTTATCTTAGTCTAAATAGTGGTAAAATCCGGCTTAAGTCTAACTAAAAGTTATGAAGTAGGGTCCAAAAAAGATTATTAGTTAAATACAGTATCTTTAAACTATTATTTGTATTTGAGATTAGAATGTAAAATACTTCTATTTTATTTATACAGACATGCAGCGTGCTTGGCCAAGCCCGCGTTGAATATCTTAACCAGCCATATTGCACAGCGACAGTATCTACAACCCCAGTTATCCAAGCAGCACCTCAACTCGTGGTACCAGCCATCATCAAACCAATTGTGCAACCCTCTGAAACCTATTCTCAAGATATTGCACCAACAGTACCAAATTTCAATAGCTTTGGGGGTTTTGGTCAAGGATTTTTCCCCGGAATGCCACCACCTATGCCTCCGATTATCCTAGAGGACGATGATGACGACAATTGGCATCATATACTGTACTTCTTGCTCTTTGCCTTGAGGAATAGACGCGGCTGTGGTGGATTTGGCGGAGGTTATGGTTGTGGAGGCGGTTGTGGAGGTAATTGCGGTGGTGGTTGTGGAGGTGGTTATGGAGGCGGTTGGGGAGGAGGTTGTGGAGGTGGTTGTGGAGGTGGCTGTGGAGGTAGCGGTGGAGGTAGTTGTGGTTGCTACGGGGGAGGTTACGGTGGGGGCTGTTCCGGAAATTGCGGTGGTGGATGTGGAGGATCATGTGGTGGTTATAACGTTGGCTGCGGTGGAGGATGTGGTGGTGGATGTGGAGGTGGTTACAACAATAACGGCTGCTTCTCGTACATTCCTTACCCTATCGCCGTCCCTGGACCTTACGGTTGTGGAGGTTACTATGGCGATAACTCATGTGGCAATGTGGATGATGGGTCAGGTTTCCAAAATGGACAACCGAACGAAATCAATCTTATTATAAAAACAGATTGTCAGTAACCATAATTACCCACTGTGATAATAAAAGAAAAATACCTAAACACAATAATTGTTGAAACTTAAAATAAAATGTAACGAAATACATGATTATAGAATTTTATGATATTTAGTTTTATTTAATGTTCACTTCAGCAACTATCCATCAATCCAACCAATTTAACAAAAATTACCTAATTATGAGGCAATATTTTGTGACATGTTTGCTAATACCACAAGAAGGAATATAAACAGGAATTTGATGGTTTTATTGACATATGAAGTAAAGTTAATACAAGTGCCAGATGACCCGATTTAAGGAAATTACACCAATAATACTATTTACTCAGGTCAGTAAATTACACTTCTCTAGAAAAGCATACTACAGAAATAGAAAAATGCTATACAAATCATTACTACTCCATTATCTGTTTCCATGATAATGTTTTGCGTTTAGTTATCCTCTATGAACTATAGAATCGTATATAATTCATACTTATGCCCAAATGTGAAAGTGAGTTTGTTTGTTACGCTTTTACGCCTAAACCACTAAACCGATTTAAAAAATCTTTCATCAATGGAGAGCTACATTATTAGCGAGTACAATAAGCTAATTTTTACTTTAAAAGCTAGTTGATAGATAAATTAAGCGTATGATAAGTCATGTCTAATTTGTGTCATATAATTGTGTAATCATCTAAAAACCATAAGATGAAGTTTCCATCAATTGAGTTACTGCAAGAAAAGGTGATTTAAACCCAACGTAGGAATCAATACACAGAGCTCATCAATCATCCCGAAATTTATTTCTATTTCGAACGCCGCTCCTCTCAATTAGTAATTTCTTTAAATGATTTCTTCTACATAACCAAGAAGAATCATGAGTTTTTTCTGATATCGGTCAGTACAATTATATGATATGTTATGCTAGTCATAGGAGTCGGAGCGTGACAAAATCAAGATACTTTCGACATGCAGAACATTGAGAAGGAAAAGCATTAAACAAACTATTCTATTACGTTATTATAATTTTCAAATATATCCTTAGAAATATTTAGATTGTAAGAAAAAATATTTTCTAGACCAAGTATTAAAATGTACACAAAATCATATTTTTCCACAGTTACTTCTAGTTCAATGCAAATGGTTTGGTCCCGGTCCATACGGACCTTATGGATATCCTTACGGGGCCGTTCCTCCCCGCTACTATGAATCACCATTGCTAAACCAACCAGAACAAATAGAAATTCCAGCGAACTCTAACCAACCAAACATTATCATCATAAAAGATAACGACGATAAACCAACCAAAAAAGACAAATTTCGATTTGAAGAGATCCTCACATTGTTGTTGACTAGACATCTAGGGAGAGATAGAGATAGAGAAAGAGAGGCACCGCCACCACAACAATCGAATCAATGCAACTGTGGATGCTGCTGTTGTAACTGTGGGTGTTGTTGTTGCAAAAATAGAAATAATGAAAATGGAAATAATAAATGTAGTTGTTGTAATGATCAGAACAAAAATGAAAACGGAGGTGGAACTACTATGCATATTACTATTGTACTGCCAAACAATTCTGTGAACAAAAACGATAGTAAGTGACACATGCAAGTAATTAAAAGGACATATAAATATTAAATTTTACATAGTTAATATTTTTTTTACTTGTAAATATTATACTCAATATGTGTGTTAGAACAATAAATTATTATCAAAGTTATAAATTTTATTTTTATTTTAGAAATTTCTAATTTTATGGAATAGTAAATTAACACAAAAATGTGTATGAAATGAGGCATGTACGTGTAATTATACGTAAAAAAGTAATACAGATAAGGTATTATGGTTCAATCTATTTCGCGGTAACACACGATATAGCGCACAAATTGATAAGACTCTAACTGTGTATCGTACATAGGAATAACTGTGTAACGATAAAAAAAAATGTGCGTCAAAGCGACCAGGGCCTCAATTCTGCTATTTTATGTTCACGCCAAGTCACTGTCATACCACTGACACGCTATTGAGATGCCATCGAGTGGCCATTGGCATCGGTATAAATATCGGTAGTCTTTACATTAACTCAGTGTCTTTACAGTGGCGATGGAATGGAAAAATAAATAAATAATTTCCTCAAAAAACGTAATAAATTTCCAATTACAAGGAAATGATTTATTTATTTTATTATTATTATTTTTAATAATTTATTTATCTTTTTTTTAATATTTTTTTTTTAATAATTTATTTTAATAATTTATTATGATAAAAATAAATAAATTATTTCTCAAAAAACGTAATATATTTTCAAATTATAAGGAAAAGATTTATTTATTTTTCCAAATATACCGATGCCAATGGCCACTCGATGGCATCTCAATAGCGTGTCAGTGGTATGACAGTGGCTTGGCGTAAACATAAAATAGCAGAATTGAGGCCCTGATTGAACAATTAATGTAAAACCTCATTGCTTTTATATAGCAATACAATGTCTTAAAAGGTTTGTGAATTTAACCAATTATACGTGAACTGTACCTACTATTTGTAGTGGGCTTTTTTTTCTGTAGGTACTTCTTTATTTTCATTTAGTTATTCTATTCATTTAGATCATTTAACAGTAATTTTATATGAGTTCACTTATGATTTTTCATTGGAGAATCAACGCGTTACTTTGGTTTTACTGGGTTTTACATACCTCTGTATTCCCTCAACGTTTAGACCAGGTAACACTGGCCGTGGTAGCCGCCGCCGACCGTAACGGGAATATTTTCTATTTTACTGATTTTAAGAAAATGGAAATAGGTAAAGAAAGAGCAACGCTCTTTGTCCATTCAATATATTATAATGGAATTTATGTATTACTAATTGATCTCTTCGGCTCTGCTCGTTTTTGTAACCTTATAATGGAATTTGGCTTTCCATTTATAAAATTCAATATATCGTGAAGAATAGAAAGTTTTAACACTTCGAATAAAATTGTTTGTCTTAGTTTTTATTTTATTATTATAAACGAATGTTTTACTGTTACTTATGCAACTATTTAAAAGCTTCAAAACTAGTAAAATTTAAAATCCTACATTTGTAAACCAATATTTATGTTTAAACCTACGCTTTGAAATAGTGGCAAATAGTTGAGTCTACGACAGTGCGTCCTGCCAAATTCGTGAGAAATGTGCTGACATCATCATGTGACATTATTTAGACCAGGGATTCCCAAACTGTTTTGGGCAAGAGACTACTTTTCTAAAATGACCTGATGATTAATAGGGGTCGTTTTTAAGACCTCATCGACCTTCAAAATTAATTTTCGTTAATGTCGACCCCTGGGAAACCGATTTCAACCCCAAGGGATCGATATAGATCACTTTGGGAATCCCTGATTTAGACGAACCATATTATGAAGCTATAGAAATATTCATAATTGTTTTCATTGCTAAGTTAGCAGACTGGCGGATTCGTGTCAAGTTTACGATGCGTTTCAGAAAATGATTATAAGAGATAAAAACCCACTCGCTCTATATCCCATTCTTTAATATTTGCTTTTGAGGAAACAAATTCTGGAAAAGTACAAGTTTGACTAGCGCACGTGCCGTCAGCAAACACATTTGTATGTAGATGTTTCATCTCGGGAAACAAACTTAAAAGAGTTTACTTCGCAATTCCAAATATACTCTCCCGTACATCCAGGTGCGTCATAGTAAAATTTCCAAACGCAAAATTTAGTTTCAAAGAAAAAAAATCAAATAAATGGGTCTTGATAGACGGAGCTAAATCCGTCTCTCAAGACCCTTTTTTTTAAGAACGCTTCGGGGTATCAAGTTGAAATTAACATCATCTCCTGTAGCAAAAATTAGTTATTAAGTCAACGCACTCAAAAGACATCATAATTTAAGTGTTCCTTTTTGATATTTGGCAGATTTAATGAAACTGGGTACTCGTTAGTGACCTACAATCATGAAATTAAGCTCAAAGTGAGGATGCGACCTTGCTACACGCTTAACTTTAACTTTTAGTCAATAATTTGTTGTTAGATCACGCTTAAAATATATTTTTAAGATTACTAACTTACATTTTAGAAACCAACAGAAATTATTTTTACAAAAATTGACTATGACATAACTCGATGTATGACAAGTATAATGAAAGGGGCAAAGATCAATTTGCAAGGTTGAACTATCTAGGGGGAACTCTTTGTTACGCGAGTCAGACTAGCACTTGACCGATTCTTTTAAGCAAAATGACAGGTGTCAGTGTCATTTGACTGTCATGACAATGTTTCAGATCCGGTGTTCTATGTCAATGACCTTGGTTTTCTGCCAGATCATCTCATTGCTGATGCGCTGACCCTTTCTATAGCACGCTGAGCGACTTTGAACTGGTGGACCAGCCGTACCGAAAGTGACCATGTTTCGGCTTCGTATATCATGACGGGTAGGACACGCATTGAAGACTTTCGCCTTAGGGCCATTGAGTTAGTATATCAATGCTTAGGGCACTGTGGGATCGACGATGTGAAGACTCTACGTACTTTCCCAACCCAGCTGACTTCTTCTATTCACCTCGTTTTTTTACTTACTTTACCTTCGTCCTTTTACGAATAGATTTATTAAAATTAAAAAATAATAATATTATGTTGAGAATGATGTGTTTTTTCTTGGATTTTGTACGCATTGAGAAGATCTTTAAGGCACAAAGCAATAATGGAATTCATGAATATACAAACTACTGTAAATATTACAAATTGTTTATAGAAGTCGTTCTCATACCGTGACATTGATAAAATCTAGAGCAAACACATACTGCCGATGTATTTCTGTATGCCGTTGCTCAGAATATTACATCAGCGTTATAAAAAAAATTACTTTGTTTATACTTAAATTTCGATATACTGCACCAAGTGCTGTAAAGGCTGTGACAAAGATGTGATTGATAACAGAAAAGATTTTTTATGTCTTAAACAACTAAGATTTTAACCAATGGAGCGGGTGGTGCCTGCCATAGATAATTAATCTATTAAGGATATGAATACCAGCAGTAGTAGACGAGAAATGAGATACTCTTGTAAAGAGTATCACTCATGCCTTGACGTTACGCAAAAGCCTAAAAAGCAAATATATTTGCGGCCCCCGCGTAATGAACTGTCTTAAATCACTCGAAATTTATATAAGTAATCAAGAGTTTTAAGAAAGGCAGCATGTAAAAGATTCTTACTAACATGAATTTTTATTTAATTTTGAAGGGAAATCAGCATAACCAAGAAAATTCTAAATGAAATAATTCATTTAAAAAACTATCGCCCGCAATGCATTGCTTTGTAATTTTGTTAAAAATATATGTGGAAACTGTTTTTACTGAAATATACTGATTTATCATATTAAGAAAGTTTAAGACAACATGTCATTAACGAACTATGCTTTAATCAAAGATTTACCAAAACCCTTGAAAGTTTTGGACGTTTTAATCACTTTAGAGTAGTGTAATCAATTAGAAATATGTTACAGTATGAATTCTGAATTACACACAGACTTTTTTTAAGTCTCTGAACTTATGCAATACATAAGGAAAGGCATATTTATGGTAGTTTCATTAGTTAGCGATTTTTTACTATGAGTAAAAAAAAACATACTTAATCCATACTAAGCACCTACGGTTAAACTGAGACCAAGAATTGACTTTCCTGTATGCTTGGTGAAAATTACTAAAACAATATGGCGGGATACAGCTAATTGTTAATTAATTAATTAAAATGTGAACAGTTGTTCCTCAAGGTCATACGTGCTTAAACTGTTCTAGATACCTATTTACGAAATAGCACAAGTTACCCAACCATATGTTTTGATACTAATAATATATAAAAGCAAATAGTGACTGTGCACGGGAACTGAGTTCGCCATGGCTTCTTCAGCTAAGTTTGTCGCTTTTGCAGCCCTCTTGCTGCTTCTAAACGTGAGTTTTACTTTATTTATTATTATTAATTATTAACAAACTATCTGCAACCAACTGACTATCTGCGAATAATAAAATATTTTGATAGCGATTCATTAACTTTTACGTATTATGTCGTACAGGACTTAACGTAATAGCTACTACAAGTATTTGCAATTCCTGAGGTTTCGACCAGGTGACACTGACTATGGTCGTAAGCTAACAGGCTGGGAACTCAGCCTTTGCCTTACAGGGAACCTTTAGTTATAACTTCAATTCTAGAATCAAACAATTACAAGTAGTATTACAATAAAACAGTCATACTTCATGTTCTCTCCAGCAATTATATTATGACGGGAGTTAGTGCTTAAAATGCGTTGTAAAGATGAACACTTGTAGGGAATTCTTTCTATTTTCCATCGATAGAGAATTATTCTTGTTTCTTTTAACTAAAAAAAAGAATAAAGAAAGAACTCACTTTAGACACGTGTTCGCATATTAACAAAATATAACGATATACAAGGAAATAAAATTGGAAATTGGGAAATAAAATTGGGAAAAGGGTAGGCAGATGATACAAGGGAGCCACATTTTACACTGTATAAACTTACCGCAAAAGTACCACACAATTGCAGTGTAGTCAAGTCTTTGGTATAGTTTCCAAGTAAAGCCCACATTCGCTTACTTTCACATTTCAAGTAGCAAAATATTTGTACATATGTTTTATTTTATTTTAATATGTACATGACTTGTATAAAATATTTCTTGATATAGATGCACTGGGCGGCCTGCCAGTTCTACCCGGGGGGTTATGGAGGATACGGGTATCCCGCATTCTACGGAGGCCGATTTGACAATGATAACGACTTGGAAACTATTCTACCCTTTTTGATCTTGGCCCTTTACGGACGCGGTGGATTTGGCGGTTTTGGTGGATATGGAGGTGGAGGTGGATGTGGTTGCGGTGGTTGCGGCGGTTGTGGAGGTTGTGGCGGATGTGGACGTTGTTGATGACAGATACATGACAATTATTATGAAAAGTTCATAACTATACAGGATAATTTTAGTTAAAGGTGTGGTAAAATTTGGTTTAAGAACTTTTCATTTTGATATTCTAACCTTTATAAACTAAATAACTAAGGCATTGTCGGTTTCTCATTATGAAAGTTGACTATTCAATTCCTACTGTGTGCAGTATTAATCTGAATTCAGATGATGCCTAAATTGAAAACAAAATAAAACATATATATATATTTACAAGTAACAAGTTCAACCAATATACTAGGCGCTGTGGTGCTTGGTTTCTGTCAATGATAGTCATTTTGGTTTTTTTTTTTGTCAAATTTGTGAATTATGCTGAATAAAATGAATTCTATACTTTCGAGACTTTCATTTACTGGCCCATAGAGTAGTTTTCTTTCACAGTAATTTTATGTTATTTTGCTTTTGACCGCGGCTCGGCTGTATGTCGGTTATCGCGGTAAAAAGTAGCCTATGTTACTCGCGTATAATATACTTTTCCATTGATGAAAAAAATTATAAAATCGATTTAGTGGTTTAGGCGTGAAAGCGTAACAAACAAACAATAAACTCACTTTCACGTTTATAATATAAATAAGGATTATCAAAGGAATTATTTATTTTAAGTTAGTGATTTACGGACTGTTATAAGAAAGATGCAATACAATAAGAAAGATTTGTTTAACGAAACAATTTCTAGTTCAGAACCTTAGAGTCGTAAGTCTCAGTCTTCATTCCTATCCGAGACTTACGATATACTTTAACCTAGATCCCTACTCCAATTCGTTTTCTTTAACCAAATTACATTTTCAATTAGGGTTAATGTCACAAAATCGGCCGGTCATTAAAGTCAGCAATCCCGCCTAAATTCTTTACAATGATAAACATTGCTCCAATCCGACTCTCCCCAAACTTATCCCTACAATAGCTCAAAGGTCAAGCTCAGTTTATGTTAAACAGCTAAGTCCCAATGAGCCGAGAAAAAAGTACTTTTACATGTCAAAATACTTTCCACAAAAATACTTTCATCTTTTATTCATACGCTGAAATAAAAAAAAATGTTTTGATGTTATAAAGTGTGAAGCTGTGAAATTCGAAATTCTAAATGAGGCGCTAACAGCGCTACAGTAAACGCGGATGATGATATTATGATATTCCTCACAGAAATACTTAAACAAAAACTGCTATGTAGTAGTTTAACCATGCGCACGTAGAACGTGGACAAGTTACTAGCCCAAAAGCGATCCAGTACTGTTTTTAAGAATCATTCGTTTTAAAGCTATTTTCAGACCCTTCAAACTCATGAGTGGATAAACATATTGATAATTCTGTATTCGTGTCAGGCAGAGATTCCCAAACTATTTTGAGCAACCCCTTTTTTAAAAAGAATTGATAGCTCAGACCAGCCAAATTACTGCACGCTTATCGACTTGATGAATTTTTAAAAGTACAACAATGATCGACCCCAAGGGGTAGATATCAACTTGGGTAATTTTGGGAATCTCTTTAGGAATCCCTGGTCTAGGGGCTCTCTCAGTACACTCGATGTCAATAAATTTTGGGGGTGAGTACTAGAAACATAAAAACGACACTAACTTCACACAAGAGAACTCTATAACGCGTTATAGAACAGGCAAGAATCGTTTTATATGAATTGAATATTGTGATGGTCTAAATTAATAATAGTTTTGAAGTACACCATGGTCTGCTACGCCCACGGGTAGTTCACCAAGAACAAACTTTTCATACTAGTCTATTATACTCATCCCAATAATAGATGTATATAGGCACAGATATTCATAAACAATTGCACGGATGGCGTAGTGGTTTAAGCGGTCACCTCGCCGCTTCCTATTACGCCGATTATTCCGATCCCCACACGGGACAACACTTTGTGTAATCTACAAATTGTTGTTCTGAGTCTGAGTGTTCTGTGTGGCCGTTTCTATATATGTTTGTCCCCGCGACACAGGATATATTCCTAGTGCGGGAGTTGTTTTTTAAAGAAAAAAATAGAATTGTCGTATTCATTAAAGCTTCAGCAGTGATGGGCCGGCCCGAACGTAGTGATAACACGACCTGTGACTCAACCTTGTGACGCATACTACAACATCACTGCGACTTATTATTATTATTAGCGCCAGACGGGTGAAAGGTCTAAATCTAAAAAAAAACAGGTGGATTTGACTGATTTTGAGAGCATTAATCTTTGTCTATGACCAAATCTAAGTAGTGATTTATCACAGGTGAAATCACAGTGACAAAAACCAACCATTTCATGAAATGAATCTTTTTTAAAGGTAGCAATAATTTCCATGTCGTCGTTGGATCCGTATACTATAAAAATAAGAGCACCAATTCAAGAACTTGCAGTCATAACGTTTCACTGAAACTTTCTTATCAATATTTTGACGTTGGTAATAAGGGTTTTAGAAACATTATCAAATATTAAACGTAATTCTTATACTATAATCTACATATGATTACTATATTCATAAATAGATAGTTCGTTACTGATATGATTTAAAAGATATCACACGTCTTGTAAGGATATGAAAGAGTTTGTATTTTGCACAACAGTTTGTAATAACCTTGCAAACATATAATAAAACACTGGTTTGTTCGCTTCTGTATCACTTGTGTCCCACCAAGCGCTGGATAAGCAAGAAATACGTGTTAAGCTAAAAAAAAACTACAATGTTTTTAGTATACTCTGTAATGTTTTTCGTTCTGGCTAAAGTAAGTTGCATAGTAATATTTAGTGGACGTTTAAGAGTTTTTTTATAGGAAGACTAATACTGAAATACTTAAGTAATGTATAATGTTCTTGTTATACCCATTTGGGGTGCTAGTTCAGACCAGCGAAACATACCTTATTATTTATTGCCTGAGAAAGAAAAATCCTATCCCTCACTACTCCGAGTTTACATTGTTAGTTAACAAACCTACTATTACCATGTTTTTATTTTTACATTAACTTTATTCTTACAGAGTATTGATTGCTACAGTCCAAAACGACAACCAAGAGTAACTACTACAGATAGCGTTTATATTGATAACTTTCCCGAAGTCGAATATCCCGGTAGCATCACGGATACAATAAAACCTTTTTATTTAAATGCCAACCCGTTTTCCAGTGACGTTCAGTCTTCATTTAAATCCCTTACCTCTGGAGGGACCACTAAATCAAGGCCCACTATAATTCTTAATATTAATGCAAGCGACAATTCTAAAGATAAAACTAAACATAAACTTGTAACTCCAGAGAAAGCGATCCCAACTCAAGAAAATAATATTTCGGAAACGGATATTAATTTAAATGATGAAAAAACTAGCAATAAACCGTCAATAGTACTATTCGAAGACGATTTTGGCTGTCAAGAGACGAATAAAGAAGTTACAAGCCGAGCAGAAGAAGAAGAGTCAAGTATTGATTCAGAAATGGCATACGTTTTAGGGTTCATCGACAATTTAGATGATTTCATAACAACACGTGAAGTCGAGACAGAGTTTATTGATTTTACCAATTCTAGTATGCAAATATTTGACGATGAACACTCAAATGAAATTGCAACAATAACTTCGGATGTACCATTGGTAAACAGTTTTGTTGCTGAATCGAATGAATCATCACATACAGAAACAAATGTATTTGACGAATTAGCAGACAATTCAACAGTTGCTAGTTGGTTAGTAAACGGCGGTTTAACAGATTCAAGTGATTATAACGATACTGATTTGTTAATTGGGAAGATATCTAACGACACTGACATGTTGTAAACTTTAATAGTTGCAAAAATGATTGCAATAATACGTACAATTATTTCAGCAATGATAAATATATCTGTATATTTATATATATATATAGCTTGACTGTTGGCGAAGAACGCATTCGATATGAGTTTCAACCTTGGTTTCGCATTGATTTGCAAGGTAGCAATGAATTTTCACATATTCCTATATACTTAAAGGGTCTTCATGATATTCTTAAGTCTTGTCGATCCGCTCTAAACAACTTACCTAAGGTCCAACCATTCTAAAAATAGAGGGAAAGTAAATGAACAAAGTTATCGATAAATATTTTAAAAAAAAAATTGTAGGGTAATATTTGTATAAATTATTAACTGTTCTAAATGTAAGTTATTGTTTAATATATTATTATGAATAAGAATGACATGTACTGAAAATAAATTATTAATTTAAAAGGTTTTATTTATAACTATACATGAGGCACTCAGAAAGTTTTAAGAAACTAAAAAACCAACTTATATGGATAAAATAGTTTTATTAAATCTTTTCAAAGTACTCTACACCAGCCTCTATACAAAGTTTCATGCGTCTAAACTAGTTTTCGAAACAATTTTTTCATCTTCCGGCGACGAAAACTGTATCCCTTTCAGTTATAGAAGATATACTGTATCAGAAATAAAAAGAAGTAACACGGTGCCAGATCCGGACTGTTAAGAGAGCGAGCCAAGACTTTAACCGGTGTGGTGTTCTGAGTGCTGAGTGCGCGGGCGCGTTGTCGTGGTGAAGCAATAGCCCGCGAAGCCCGGTATTCGGTCAGGTGGTAGGCATTTCGTAGTGTATCATTCAGCGTTAATGCTGCTTAGATTTTGTAATGAAATCGACACAAAATACCCCCCCAAAGTAAATAAACTATCGATCAAAATTTTACTTGCACATTTAGATTGCTTGACTTTGGTAGGCTTAGTTTGATTTGAAACAGCCAAACTGTCGACTGACGCTTTGTTTCTGGATCGTATTGATAAATCCAGAATTCGTCATCTGTGACAATGTCGTAAACGCTGAAATGAGCCTGCTCCATTCCACGCAGGCCAGCTTCTGAGCTTCGATGAGGTTGTGCGGCACCTAGTGCGAAACTATCCTCCCACGCGAAGCTGCTCGAATAGAATCTTGTGAATGCTGCCCGATTCAATCTGCAATATATGCTAAATCTCTTCGTATGTAAGTTGTCTGTTTTCATAACTTAATTTTGTCACTGCTAGCACGTTTTCCTCGGCAACAACCGTCAAAGGATGACCATTTATTTCTTCATCCCCCAAAGATAGACGACCGCGCTAGAATTCGTTATGCCAACGCGGCAACGGTAGATGGTTGTTTTAAAAAGGTCTTCATCCATAAATTATATTTCAAGTCGATCAAATTACACGTCTAGTTTAAGGCCACATTTGATCATAAAAAATCATCACACGAAAATGTTTCCGACGCAGATCTATTTTTCAATTCAATTTGACCATTAATTAAAATGTGGAGGGAAGTTTGAAATTCAAACTATGAAATTTGCATTTGTAAATAATCTCATTTTTTTATATAATTATAATCAGCCCGGGCTTCTTATATAAAAACTTTTCTTCGCAATACTTTTTGGTTTTATATTCATTAGCAATTAAACTATCAAAACTCATTGCACCTTCAACTACTACTGTCTCCGTAATAATTTGTTAATAAATCCTAAGGTTGCCTGGAAGAGATTCCTTTTAGCAGTAAGGTCGCCCTTTGTGCATTTCATGTCTGACTTTTTTATGTACTATACTATTTTGTAAAACAATGTATAAATAAAGAGTTAAATATCTATATTTCTTAGTGGCTTAGTACTCGAAATGCATGCATTTACGGGCCTGTTGGTCTAGTGGTTAGTGACCCTGACTGCTAAACCGGAGGTCGTGGGTTCGATTCCCACCCAGGACAAATATTGTGTGATGAGCACGGTCATTTGTTCTGTGTCTGGGTGTAATTTATCTATAATATGTATGTATTTAGAAATATATAAGTATGTTTATCAGCGGTCTGGTTACCATAGTACAGGCTCTGCCTAGTTTGGGATCAGACGGCCGTGTGTGAGTGTGTGAGATATATTATTATTATTATTATTATTTACAAATTGGCGGCATTATTAAATTATTAATTTATTTAAAATACATACATTTAAGTTACAATTATATTTTTTTTTTTTAAGTCAGATCATATAACCCGCCCCGCGTCGCTCCCGGTGCAAAGGTGCCCATGATACTGGCAGCATTGCCTCGCTGAATTGCAACGGACATTCTTTGCACCAGAAACGAGCCGGAGCGGGAGCCACCACTTTTTTCCCTAACCATTATTAAATTATTTTATTTATACCGATGCAGCTTTAGAAAAGAGTATATACCTTAATTATTTGAGATAAAAAGAAGACTGATTGCTTGCATATAGATTGAGAAAATTAATTAAGAAAGAAAAAATAAATCTTAAAAATTAATGTATAACTTAAATGTCTTTAAGGAGCGGGTTAGAAAAATGTCAGACCTATGACAGTCAAAGGGTGGTTTTCAAAAACTCAAGAACTCAAAAGTTAATTTATTCTTACCAAAAGGCACACATATCGGCATTCAGATATTTACCTGAAAGATGAATAAATGTTATTAATATTTAAATTACAAAATAAAACATTGCTGATAGTGTTGGATAATATAATCTAAGTGATTTATTATGAAACATTCATAAGTATATAATAGAAACAGTTTCTTGAAGAACAAATAGAATAGTCACGTATTTGAAAGCGAATTGATCGTTTTTATGATAATAATTATAACTACGACTAGTATATACGATACGTCAAAATTATCTCACTACGTAATAAAATGGGTCTTCGTGAGAAGGTGGCACTGATATTTACTGCAGTCCTTATTTTTCAGGTAAAAATACTTACGCTAATTCTTAAGTATTTTCTAGTATAATTTTATTTTAGTTTTTGATTTAAATTAATATGCTGCGCTAATGCGCTGTGTGTTGTGGGTTCGATCCCCACATGAGACAACACTTTGTGTGATCCATAAATTGTTGTTCTAAGTGTGGGTGTTCTTTTTGTGACTTTGATGAATATTTAAAAAGTTCCCCGGGACACAAACTGTATTCCTAGTGCAAGTTGTCTTACTTAAATTAAAAAAAAATACAATGCAGTAGTGGGTGTGATTTTCGTTCAGTGCAAATATCCCTGCTTGAGGCCCAGACTGTTAAAAAAAAACATATATTTCAAAAAAAAACTTAAATATTATACACACAGACACAGAACAAATGACCATCTCACCACACAATTATTTGTCATGGCTGGGAATCTAACTCATGACCTCTGGTTTAGCAGTTAGGCCAACAGGCCCGTTACTATGTTATTTACACTGACTATTTTTATTAAATTATATTTATATACTTTTAGTCTAACCGAAAACACTTTTTTACAATTGTCTAACTTCTGTTCCGAATTCTGAATGTTTAGATGAGATCCTATCTTATATTTGTAGAGACCCGCATTGTAAGTAAACATTTATCGGGCCTATAAACACTACGGACTATAAGCACCATCAGAGATGTCAACCTTTTCCTCTATACATCTTCAGCAAAACCACTTTACATCCGAATAACAACACTTTACTCTGTAAGTTACAGGACTTAAACAGAAATATTGTATACCTAAAGTAATTTTAGGAAGTAGATCTTCATGTTAATAAATTAAAAGTATATATACCTTTAAGTATCTTTTAAAATAATTTTATGTAAATGTATCCTAAATTTTTAGATATCCGCATCATATTGCGTGCCAAGTGCATACAAACCGGATACATTGCAACGTTATCTAGACAAGGAAAAAGGACTTAAAACAACTAAATCTCCTTACGTGACAAGTAGCAATGTAAAAATGAACAAAAACGACCAACTCAAGAAATCACTGATAAGCACTTACAATTTTCCAGAAACTGAATATCCATCTGATGCTTCTACTAGAGATTATTATACTTTAGGAAACAGTTTCAATACAAATTCTTTTAGATCTGTAGCAAAAAAAGTTCCCGGACCACAGTGTAAAGCCGTTGAAGACTTGAAGAAAGATATGCGAATGAAACGCAAATTGGATAAAATTCAAGAACATTACCACACGCCGGAAGCAGGATCTATATTCACAAAATCTTTATCCGGACCCGAATCGATTATATTAACAGATAAAGAAATATTTCCAGAAGTTCAATATCCGCTAAATGCTATAGAAACGTGGGCACCTCATTATTGGAATCCACCACAGATCGCTCAACATGAACTTGAATATGAAAGACCAGAGTCCCTGATTTTCAATCAAAAAGTGTCTAACAAAAGCAATAAATCTTATGCGCCCTACAAGAAACAGGTAAAATCGAAAGTAAAGCAGTTTATGGAAGACATTGACATGTTAAATGAAAAAATGCATAGCTCAAAAACACAATGCAAAGAAACCCAAGACTCGAATACTAAGAACGAGTTGTTAGCAATTTTGAAAAGCGATTTCAACAAAACTGGTGAGGATCCATATCCATTTGCGGTTCCTATTATTTGAAATGTAAGTCTTAATACTAATTCCTTTTACGTTTCAGATTCTAACAACAGTAATATTTTACTTAAAGATCCTGAAGCACTTTCAAACGAAACAACTGACCCATTACGTAATATACACGAGGATTTCGTAAATAAGAGTATTCCTGAAAATCAAGACTTCAAAGAACTGGCAATAGCGCTAAATGAAACAAATAATTTATCGCCACAAACAGAAACTTCACAACTGAAGTCTAATACGCCCGACTCGACAACAATTTCATGTAAAATACAAGACAAAAGCAGTTTTCCTTTAAATTCAGAGCATAAAAATGTAATAAAGGAAGATATTAATACATTTAAAGAAGAGAGAGATTCTTCCATTCTTAAAGTAGAAGAGGAACTTATTGAGAAGGTCAAATTACAAAATCCATTAAGTGCAGTTATTCTAACGGACAGTGCTGACCTAAGAGGAACGACTATAACTGCAAATAATACCAACACGGGTAATACTACCAACATAGAGTCTCTAGACCAGAAATATAACGATACAGATGTAACATCAATTGATGATCCACTGAACGTCAATATACCACTACCAGAAATGGATACGTATGATCAAACACCACCCGATTTTTCTATCGAAACTACACCGCTGTCAGATACAAACGAGACTCCGCATACCACTATTATTGTGGTTCCTGTCGATGACTATGTAAATATGATGCAAATACCGAACTTCAACAAATTATCAGACTCGTCTATTATTGTATTCACACCAAGTAAGAAGAAAAATGTTACAGCTACAAAATCATCCAATATATTTAACACTTTACCATTAATTGAAGAAAGAAATACAACAACAACAATTCCCAATACAAGGTCAACGGCGCCAGATTTTGAAATGCTCCCAAATAACTCTATGTGTCATGTTCTATCAAACAAAGTTAACTCCACAAACATGACAACTAAACACTATAGTGGTGATGAATTTACTGATGCTATATTGATATCAGAAGATATTATTTCGAACACTACTCCCCAGTTGTGTGCAACTAATAACTCAAGTGAAATCCATTCGGAATCAGTATTACCAAGTACAAAACTTTTTAATACACCAATTCCATTACTAAACGACCTCTCAAACAGAATGCCATCTAATATTATACAAGAACCGTCATTATTGGACGAAACAGTTATAAACAGTAAACCTTGTGAAGTGCTTATAGATAAAGTTACTAAACAAGTGAATCATAACACGTTCTTTGAGGTCACAGAAAATAGTTCCCCATCATCTCAAGATCACGGAGATCTTTCTCTATTTAATAATGGTAATAATAAACAATTTTCGCTAGAGATTAATAAACTAAGTGACAATCATGAGGCCAATAATAAAGTCGTTAATTCACCATTAACGGATTTTAAAACTAATGGAGTAGAGTCTCTACTACATACTACTAAATACAGTGAGCTTACAGAACGCAATCAAGAAATAGTTATGTCTAAGGATGAACAAATACCCATACAAGAAGACCTAAATTATCCTCATAACGACCTTACTGGTAGCAATTCGTATAAAGGAATAAACTATGATTATATTAGCAATACAGAAGAAAGGCAACCTAGCTTGCTCGAAAACAATGAGATTCCAAGTATTCCACTTACTAACATTGCTCAAAGTGGTGAAACACTGTTAGAAATAAATAAAAATGAACAACAAATGGCAACAGATGAATTAACACCAAATAACAGTGTAATTGACCTCACAGATATACAAGAAGGATCAGAACCTATGACTCTTCTGTATGCACCACGTCTAGACATTAGTTTAGCTGACCCTGCATCAATAAAACAGAATTATCATGATAATCTTGAAGACACAACGTATTTAAATGGTACCCCACATATTATGACTTCAGTTTTGGAGCATGCCCAGCCCCGAAATAAAATTCATAATACTTCAATATCAAATGAAAATGAGATTGTTAATATTTACCATCAGTCAGCAGCACACTTCTCGAACAAAAACAGATTATTACATGATTCAAAATATGAAGAAAGATTACCTCCTGAGAGTAATGTAGAATATTCTCTTAGGTTTACAGACAATCAGACTTTAAGTAATACTGATTTTGATGATGATGAACAATCGTTATGGGCTGATAACAAAGTTTTATATCAAATCGATCACGAGCAAGGAACTGGTCAAAAAAATGATTTTGTACCAAACAGCACACTAAGAGTCCCTGTAAATATAGACTATATTACAGACTTTAAGAATAACTCAAATGCTGTGGAATACCAGGATACGATACAGTCCCATATAAGCTCAGCGTTTTCAACGGACATTCCAAACCCTGATAAGAAAAATGTTCCACACGCAGAGATAAATATGTCGTTACTACCCATAGACAGCCATCAAAATGAAGGCATAGAGAACGAGTCACTTGTGGATACGCCTCCAAAATATAGTGTAAATAAAAGTCATGAATTAATGAAAGAAGTGCTGACTGTCCTTAATAATATATCAGAGGATGACACACGAGACAGGGAGTCTACGACACTTCTTAATAGCAGTGAGAAAGCAATACAAGAAACATATTCAACTGATATTATACCTGAACTTATCTATAATTCCGAACTGGATAATTTCACCGGAAGAGACATAAGATTATTAACCAAAAATAGCCTTACAGATCCTCCAATGTCGAATAATAAAAAGGTAAAGACTTTTCCCGCTACTCTACTTACTGACATTGTTAATTTTAATCCATTAGAAGTAGATAAGCTGGATTCAGATAAATCACTAACTGATGACATCATAGAAAAGGAAGCAATCAATGAACTATTCGATGCGAATCCTATGCCGATTTATACCGACTACAGACCTCTTTTGGTAAATGAAACACTATCAGAACTATATAACGAAGAAGAATTGATACAAACAGATATTGCATTCTGATTTTGTTTTCAACAAATGACAATGTAATACAGACTACCGACACAAACTAGAAACTGATTACAGGTTTAGTAGATAAGAATGTATCAAATACAGCGCTCTCTAATCCTTTAAAATGCTTCTGTCACCCCGGTGTAGACTGTTTTGGCAGTATCATATTCTTACGAATGTTATAGGGTAGCAATGTTTCGATTGTACAGTTATTTATTTAATTTATTTTTATTATTAAAACTAACTTATTTTTGATTATTTGCATTTATTTTGTTAAAGAATACTTTTTCCTCCAAGTGCTAATAAAATACTTTTTTTTTTAAATCAAATTTGAGAAATTCGTCTCCTTTACTACAACTTAATGATTGTCCGAGATCATAACTCTCTTTATTCTATCTTTAAATAGCAGTATCAAAGCAAAATCATCCGTACCTATCATGATTAAGTGACCTTGATCTATTATTTGCTATTTCTAATCATTGAATTTACAGATTTAAATAAGTTAGTGATTAGTGAATGCCTAAACTATTATTTCGCATGTTCTACAAGGCACATCTTGTGGTCCAGTTTATTGTCCAATTTCAGCGTCGACGCTGCCACTAACAACATCTTATCAAAAAAACCCTATGACCTTACGATTGGTCAGCTGACAATGACTTCCTTAAAAAAAAATTGCAACAAAAGTTACGGTAGTGTCATGTTTACATTATCGCAGATTCTTCCGTATGCAATAGTGAATATATAATTTGATTCCGTCTATTAAAAATAGTCATAACATTAAATACTAAGGCGTCATACATGCAAGACAAAAACAATCTTGGAGTACCAATTTTTTAAGTCTATGAAACAATTCTACTGAGGACTGTTGATTAGGTACACAGTACATAGACATTTACCTTAAAAAAAGATGTATAAACATTTTACTAGTTATCTTGGTGTATGCTAAGTTTCAAGGATGTTGTTGCAGATAGACTACCGTTCAAAATTTATTTTCCTTTTTTTAGGAGCTGCCCCGCTGTGCTCCATTGTTAAAAATGTATTAGAAAGGACACGTGTTTTAAAATTTTAAAGCAATATATAATTACGTTAATCTGGTTTAGTTTAATACTAAAAAATACAACGGACATTTAGGTTTATTACTCACAAAATAAAGAGTCGAACGGAGCATGTCCTTACCATGCTTTGTTATAAAAAAAGAATTTAATACATAAAATTGGTCTGAAAATCTTCTGAGATGAAAAAAAAAGCGTTGTATATATAACTGATATACCTCACCGTTGAGCCAATTACGTTCTTGCCAAACAGAATAATAAAAAGCAACCTCAGCTTGCCGCCGAAACAATAACGTGTTAATAAGTTCTTTTGAAAAGACATCCTTTCAAAATGAAAGACATTATGCAATGAGCCGTTTACTCGTCTAGTCAGTGCTTACGTTGCTGATACAAGTGTTTAAGTGTTAAATACTACTCAGTTCTACTTAACAAGGCTAATACATCCCAATAGCACAGTGAACCAGCCCTTAGTAGGCTTCTTCTGCTTATCCAGCTTAACATACATATGCATTTCAATAGAGTGAATAAGTGCATCGTCCAGCAAGTTGTTGCTTTACAATTTTAAACCTTTATATCAGACTAGCAATCCGCCCCGGCTTCGCACGGGTGCAATTTAGATACTACTAATACTGTGTCAGTGTAGAATAATTGATTATAGTATTATCATGGTAAGGCTACAGTATAGGATATCTTTATATGCAACATTTATAGGCCCGCTTCCTTCTGTCGGCGGCTGCCACCCGGAACGGACGTACGGCCCGACGACGCAGCGACGACGGCCGCTTTGCCCCCGCATGTTAAAACTACCGAGGTATTCATTTTAATGATATGCTATATAAGGCAATTTTGTTCAATATTTCATCGTGATCATCATCTTTCCAATTTTATTTGTCATCGACAGTGTAACAATTCAAAAGATTTGACTAGTTTTAATTGTTGCCGGCCATCTACAGGATGGCAACCCTAACGTTGTCGTTTTCAGACAGAACAATGGAGGATAGGACAAAACGGATAAGGCGTGGAGTCTTCTGGTATCCTGCAAAACTCAGATGAGAAACGGGAATGAGAACGCAGTAGTTCGAGGAGACCAGGGTCACGTATCTGTATATCCGGTCCTGTAATTGAAAAGGCCACTAAGGCAGAACAACTGGCCATTTTACGCCATTTGGTCACATCATAATATTTATAATAGCCATTTAGGTTATATTTCCCTATTTAAGTCGCATCGATAGGAATGTAAGAGTTGCTTTGATCAAGCTATAGGTTACACAAACAAAAGTGAATCTTTAGAGCCTTATAGGTTTTAGTAAGTAATTTGATTTTGACATTTGAAGATACAATATTATTTACTTCATCAGTGTCTAGAATAAAAGAAATCCTGATTTGCATTCGTATATAGTTATGTACAGCGCGTAGATAGACCGGTTCCAGTGACAGTCCAAGGCGGCCTTGCACGATTACATCACGGTATCACAACGGCGGGCACGCTCGGCGGCGCCGGTCGCGCTCGACGGACCAGGTGCGGCTCTGCGCTTGCGCATTCACGCTCCACTGCCTGATAAAATATGAGCAAGATAAATTTTGTTTTTCTACAGATACAGACATGTACGAGTATCTACTACGTTTTTGTTTAAAAAATATTGACGATGTACAGAAACGTTTAACGTCTGAAGGTTTAGGTATATTTATGTTCCGTAAAATACATTTGATGTTCAATTAATCAATGAACTCACTTGAATGACGCGAAAGTAAATCCTTAATCTTCAATCGAATTTAATAATAATCTCTTTAAAGTACCTCAAATAAACACTCGACTAAAACATCTCGTTCTAAATATAAACTCTAAATGATCAAGTTCAGTCATTTATCTCACATGCGAGTGCTGGGCACGCGTTCCGCTGGACCGATCATTTTCATGGGATTGTCTTTGTTCAACCAATCGGACAGACTAGACAACTGGCATCGTAAAATTTAAAACAGTATTATGACGAATCGGGGAGTATTGATATGTAGCGTGTAGTAGCGTATCTAGGAGAAAAAAAAAAACATGTGGTTTTGTTTCAAATTATTCCAAAATTGGAATATTAATCGATTATAATGTTCTGTGATAACTTACGACTGTTATGCTGTCATGGTTATGAAAAACAATCAGAAGGGTCGAAATGAAATATGACATATATTTAAACAATTGCCGATTTTTTAAATTATTTACGGTATATTTAAATAGTTTTTAAATTCTGTACCACCACAACATAGAAAAGAGAGGGCCTTTCTTTTTATAATAGGCATTTAAAGTACTATACCCTATAGTACTTTAAATGCACCAACCAGCACTTGTTAATTTTTTAAGTGTTTTTGAACACAGTAACGAATATAATCAGGTTGTAACATGATGTTTATTGATTTAGCTTCTTTCTAAGCGTAACTTGATCGAGTGTATTGAATCAGACTTTGGAAGATTATCAGCTCAATTTTTTTTAATCTAACTTTACATGTTTCTAGAGTCGCCTCTGAAATGTAGGTGGTTTGGTTGGATGTGTCATGCATGGACCTTCTCTCCTTATAAGATAACACCATAGTCCATATCAATGTCCATTAGGACATCTATATGGCAGCATATTTAGCTGATTGGCTTGCAAAACTTCTAGAAAATCATCATAGTCGTAGAATAGTGTCGGATCTGACATTTATTGAACTTTACAGGGCAACCCACTTCAAATAATTGTTATAATTTGACATAACTTATTTAATTATAAATCTGTAATTATTATGAAAATTGGCATAGAAGTGAAAAATAGGGTTTGTTTTGAAATGCAATAAAAATAACAACAAGTAATTTTACAATTTTCTAGAAAAATCACATGCTCCATTTTACTTCGAGCGCCCATAACTGAATGAACAAACACTGAATAACTTAAAATCTAAAATACAATTCAAGAAAAAATTAAGTAGTAGATAATATTTAGACAATGTCGTATCCACTGTTTCTTCTTATCTACTGTCGATTTGTCCATCCAAAGGTTGCCCTGTAAGAGATTGCTATTAGCAATAAGGACGCCCATTTTACATATCCAACTGTAATAGTTAACCAACTTACTGTAATTGGTGTACAATAAAGCATATTCTATTCTATTCTATCCAAATGTGGTGAAAACTGAATTTCGTATTTTTTTCAAAACCGACATAATTCTACGATCATCACGAAATTATAGATGTGACAGAACTCGGAACATTTACCTTTACCGCTAAAGCAAATAAATAATAATTAAATTCAACAAGGCAACGAACTCAAGCCGTCGGACTGAGACGCTAATTGTTAGACTTCTGTTACCGCAACACCGTGCAATGTTCCTAATAAAATAATTCGAGCAAACCTCTTATATTCATCAAAATGTTGTACTTGCTCTCTTAAGTAACTGTATAATTTAATAATAATATCTTGACTCATTATACACACACATATATAATTTAATAAAAATGTCCGTGTGGTGACGAATACAGAGTGTCACCACCCCTTTTCTGCCCTTGGGAGTCGTAAGAGCCGACTAAGGGAATAAACTCTGCAGGTCGACAGCACTGCAAGCCCTATACCAATCGTCTGGCTAGCGCGGTTTAGAAGGCTAAAACCTCCTTTCTAGGGAGAGGCCTGTGTACAACAGTGGGCTATGAAGGCTGTTGATGAGGATGATGATCTTGACATATTTCACACACGGCGGTCTGATCCCAAATTAGTGGAAACCTGTACTATGATAAGCAGACTGCTCAAAAACATACTTAAATATTTCTAAATTCATACATAATTAAGATAAATAACACCCAGACGTGCTCATCATACAACTAAAACAGGACAAACCTGGGTGAGAATCGAACCCATAACCTCTGGCTTAGCAGTCAGTTTCACTAACTACCAAACCAACAGGCCAGTCTGTATAGTATGAACTGTATAATTGATAGCATTAA